ACCTCAGCTGATGCTGAGGGCAGGGATGGGAGCATGGAGCTGCCTATCCTTGGGTGCTCCCCACAGGACCTGCCTGCTGCCTTCACCAGGAATTTCAGCAGCATGGTTTTGTTTGGGTACAGGTGATTCCTGGGGAGATTACAGTTGGATGCAAGAGGCAAACTTGTCACAGTGCAAACAATAAGCCATTGGAATCATCTCCCCAGGGAAGTGGTGGATCCCCCAACACTGGATACTTTCAAGATTTAGCTGGGCAGGGTGCTGGGCTGTCTTATCTAGACATGCTTTTGACAAGAAAGGTTGGACCAGATGCTCCCTGAGGTTCCTTCCAACCTTATTGTTTGTTCTCTCTTCTGTTCAGACTTGTTTGTGAACGTCTCTGATCTCAAGAGCTCATCTGAAGTGACTCCACGGGTAGAATTGTGGAAACACTGTGTGGGTGCACTGTGACTCCGACTCCTTCCCAGCTCCAGAGCAGCTGATTTATTTTTTGATTTATTCCCAATGCTCTGTAGCTGATCTTGCAAGCAGCACAGTTGCATTTTTCTCTCTTCTAATCGGGTGGAAATGCCTCTGCACCCCACGCTAATTTTGTTTTGTCACGAAATGAACTTACTTAATAACGATCCAATGTTCCCCACGCTGCCTGGGCAGCCCTTGGCTCCCTCTGTAGCTCCTGGTGGGACGTGGGCAGAGACTGTGACACAGTGCCCTGCCGAGGTGAACCCTCCCACCCCCAACCTTCTTAATGCCGCTTTCCGGAGCCGAAAGCCCTCAGACAGACCTCGCTGCCACTGCAGGATCTTTCCACCTCTAATGCCCTCCCACGCAAACCTACTTGGACCCCGTTCCCCTGCTCAGCCGTGCTCTGAGGCTCCCTGTGGGCTCGCTGATGCTGCTGTCAGCACATCCTTCCCAGCCCGTCCTGGCACCCTTGTGCTGCTGCTTCACCGAGCTCAGGATCCTGCCCGGGATCCACCCTCTGTTTGGGGTGATCTGGTCCTGGCCTAATCACCTGGTCCACTCAGGGGTGCTCCCTGTGGGACCTGGCCAGGCTGGGCACCCCCACGGGGTCTGGCCATACCTGGGCTCGGCTGCTCCCCACAGCTGGTTCCTGGGTTTTAGCCTGGATGTTGGGGCTGGAATAACTGAGGAGACTCATGGCTCTGTTCCTTGTTTGTATGGCCTTAACATGACCTGGAGGTGACCCCACCTGAGCAGACAGGATGCAAAGGGCTGTTTGGCTGGGGAGAGCACTCAGGGAACCCCTGAATTTCAAATGGAAGTACGTTGCACAAGAGACGAGCCTCGAGTGACATCCTCCCACATAATTCTGCCTTGTCTGCTGCACATGTTGATCATGTGATGCCAACACTTCCAATGATTCTAAACCCATCACCTCCCCTCACAGTCCAGCTGTTCCCAGCACTGTTTGCTTCTCATCTGTGTAGGAAGGACAAAGGGGGACTTGAATTATGAGAAGAAACAACTTTACTATTGGTTGTGCTCATTTCAGCCATCCTCTTCAACTCTTTTCTCTCTGGAAGCCAAATACATCACCACCACCTTCTCCACCAGCTTCCTCGTGGCAGTGGTTCCTGTGCCTCTCCCCAGCGCTCCCAGTTTCACTCTCCCACACTTTGCCCTTTATGATCTCTCAGAAAAACGTATTGGAAATGCACCTGACTTGTGCTATGTTCTGCTGTCAGCATTTTTAAACTCTGCTTCTGCTCTAAGCCTTGTTTTGATTCCACTTACAGTTTCCCAGCTCTGCTTATACATGGTAGTGTTAAGTAAAGCTGACTGACACAGTTTCTCTCAACTTTGTCTATTAAAAATATATTTTTCTAGCAAAAATAACTTTTCCATTGGGAAAAAAAATCCATTTTTCAATGGGTTCAATGAGTTTTCCTAATTTTTCTATCAGTCAATGAAAAAGTGGACACACAAGTAGAGTACATGCTTATTTGCTGTCCAGCCCCATGGGGTTAGTTTGTCCTTAATTCATAGTCCTTCCATTCTCTCATTTATTCAAAAATGTGAAGTCTCACATTGGTGGTTTCCTGAGTTAGAATCCTGGATTCCCTGAGTCACTCAGCTGGGTCCCAGCTCCATAAAGAGCTTGAGCAGGTGACACATCCCCTTTGCCAGAGGGACGTTTGCCTTCAACACTGGTTATACAGAGCAGGACTGGGACCCTTGGGCAGGTTATAAACCCCTTCTGAATGTGATTCCGGGTTTTAAAACTCTGAAAATCTTCTGAAACATTTTTGCTGAATCAATCTCTAGTAAGACAGACATTGATCAGCAGGAGCAGCACCAGCATCTGATGCTTTTGGGGTCAGACTGTGTTTTGGAGGAAGCAATCGAGGATCTGTGTGTTTGGAGATAAACTTGGACACTGAGCACTGCTCCTCTTCCCTGAGGGCCTCTTGGATTCCATTTTCATTTACTTTACCACCTCATGGTCGAACCTGTGGTTTGTTGGAAGATCCCGCCCGGATGGTGTGAAGCACTGGCACATGGGAAGGGTGAGGAAGCCCGTGGTTGGTCTGCTGAGGGACTTGATGTGGAAGGTGCTGAGCACCCAAACCCCAGTCAGACACATCTGCTTGATGCTGAGTGTGGAAATTGTTCCCTGAGATGCAGAAACCATGGTGGGTGAATTACTGAATTGCCAGGCAGGGAAATTTTCCCATTTTCCTGCATGTTTTGGGTTGGGCTGGCCTGGCTCCAGTCAGCTCTCCTGCAGCACCTCTGAGGCTGGGCAAAGAGGTCACCTTATCACAGAATGGTTTGGTTGGGAGGGACCTTAAAGCCCAACCAGTTCCACCCCCTGCCATGGGCCACTGGACCAGGTTGCTCCAAGCCCCGTCCAACCTGGCCTTGGACACTTCCAGGGATGGGGCAGCCACAGCTTCTCTGAGCAACCTGTGCCAGGGCTTGTGTTATCCCTTGCCTTCAGCAGCCCTGATTTATTCCAGCCAAGGCTCTGGCCCATGAATCAAAGGCATAATTATGTGACCATGCATCAGGAGAGCCTCAAAGGACCTCAGAAGGCTGTACGTTGTATTTTGGTCATGGGATGGAAATTGTCTCTTACTGTGACCAGGGTGGTTATTGGTGCATTAGGGATCTGGAGTGTGATCATTAGTGTAAGTGGCTGGAGGCTGGTGGGTGAGGGCTGCTTGGGCATCCATTCACAGCTTAGCTGCCCAAAAAGGTCACTCCAAGTTGGATGTGGTGCCAGGACACTCCTGCCCCTTGAGGAGCTGTGCCCTGGTGTGGAGCAGCTCCCTGCAGAACAGGCACGGATGGAAGGTCACCACACCCCAGGGTTGAATTCGTGTCTGTGTTCTGGCTCAAAACCTCCTGCTGAGCCTTGAACGAGTCACTTTCTTCAGAACTGGAGGTCAGTAGGTGTTGGACTCTCCTGCCTTAATTTTTGGCTCTCCATGTCCTGGTCATTGTCTACAGGGTGGCAGGAGAAAGAGCATCTCCCTGACCTTGGGTCACTGTGAGGACGAGCAGGTTTTGAGGCTCTTGGTGCAGTGAAGGCTGAACCAACAGTCTGGGACATGGCCCCAGGCTTAGCCTGGTTTGGCCAAAGCCTTGATGTGGACATGGACTAGGTGTGGCCATGTCTTGCTGTGGTGGGGTGTGATGTGTAATGTATTGCCAGACGTGTCTATGTTTGATGTCTAGTTGACATAATTTTTTAGGTAAGTTTCGGTCATCTAAAGGTTTAATCTGCTCAGATTTTTAATATTTCATCTGAATGCCATTTTTAAAAAAATGGCATTTAATTAAAGTGGAGGAGGAGAACTTTTCCCACTTCTCACTCTTTTGAAGCACCTTGCACTTGTGAGGCTTCACACGGCCATCGGGGGGGCTCCTGCTGATAAAATTGGTTGTTCACACACGGGAAAAGTACCATCCAACAGCATCAGAGTCAAGGAATTGTTTGGCAAAGGGTCTGCTGTCCCAAGCAAGCACGTCCACATCTGATGATGCTCAGCTAACGAGGTCAAGTGCCACTAATGGGGCCTGGCCAGGAGCCTGCGGAGATGGTGTGGGAACAGCACAAGGAGGACACTGTTGATGGAGTCAGGGCCGAGAGCTTTCCTGTGACCTCAGATGTCCCCCAGAGCTGGTTGGGATGCAGGATCCGTGTCCTCCTGCAACTCCAGGGGAGCATGTTTCCAGATGATTTCTCTTCTCAGGAAAGATCACCAGATCTTTTCCACCAAGATCACAGCCCTGCTCCTGCCAAGCCCTGAGGTGGATTGTTGTAGGTCCGTCCTTGCTCGCTGGCCAACCTTGAATAGTCTTTTTTCATTCCTCCATCCCCACATCCCACAAAGTGGGGGTCCTGCTTCTCTACCTGGATGATGTGCATCAGGATCGAGGTAGAAGAGGCTGTTCAAAGGCAAATCACGATTCTGACCTCCCAGCAGACAGTGGAACAGCTGAACTTGCTTTGCAGCAAGAAGGAAATGCTGTGGGCTGGAAAAGATGCTAAAAAAAAAAAAATCAACAACAACCCTAAACCCCTAAGTGCTACATTCTGTTATTACTTCCAAAGCTTTGCTACGGATTTTAATCCTTTAGGGATGCTGGGCACACACGTCCTGCACCGAACGCTGCCCTCCATCCCTGGGGGGGGCGTTCCATCCAATGCACCCCATTAATTAGCCCGTTGTGCTAACGAGGAAGGGGCCAGCCCTGCTGGGGGGGCGGCCGAGCTCCTGCCCCGCTGTGGGAAGGCGCTCACGATGGGCCGCGGTGGCTTTGGCTTGCGTAAGCTTTAATCTAAAGTTGGGGATGTTTTTAGCTGATCTGTGTTAATGTTGGGTGGAATTAACATGCATACGGGGAGACCACGTGACCCCCTCCGACCTCCCCCTTTTTTTCCCATTTTTTTTTCCCATCACTTTAACGGATTCCTGCCAAATCCGAGCGGCTGGTGCCTGGCAGGGCCGGGCTGTGCCGCCAGCAAGATGCCCGCGGTCTCTGTCCTTTACAAGGGAGCCATCATCATCAGCAGGTAATCCCCCCAGCCGGGGCAGGAGTGGGGAGGGAGTGGCCGCCCTGGGGGGCCCGTGGCCACCTCTAGCCAAGGTTCCTCTGCTGTGGCTCCCCAGGAGCAGGGTGGGGCGGCAGGGGTGGCGTGTGCGCAGCAGAAGGAGCCCAGGGCGCTGTCCCCAGCCCCTGGGGTTGGGTCTGTGCGTCTCTGGCATTAGCAAAGCTGCTGCTGCTGCTCCCTGTCCGCGCACCCGTCGGGGATAAGAGTTGATCGTATCAAGGAGGCATCTGCTCCGCCGAACTGCTGCCCGTGTGTCGCGTCCCAGCCCGGTCTGAGCTATTTCTGTTCGCCCCCGGTGGAATTTCCTCCGTGATTTACTCAAAGTACTCTGAAAATCCTGGGTGGTTACTTGAACCAGCCTGGGCCCAGGGCTGCTCTGGCTTCCTGGGATGTCTTCAAGCTCCATTTTCTGACAGCCAGATGTGTCCAGTGGTTTGTTCAGTCTTGAATACATGAAACAGTGCAAGAATATCAAGGAGGGGCATTGTTTTAACAGGGAGAAAAAGCTTCCAGTCCGAATCTTAGAGGTGGGTGTTACTGGCTTTGCAGAATAGCTTGATATTTTGGGATTTATTTTGGATTCCTGAGAAGAAAAATCCTCACAGTTGATTCTTATCCTGCATCCCGCTGGACTCGGAGGAGCTGTTGTTTCCCATGGCGTTGTTCCTCCTCATCTGTGTTCAGATCTGGGACCTGATATTCATTTGGAACCACCTTTTCTCTTGCAACTTAAACCCTAGGGAGTGTTCTGGGAGCCACTCAGCCCTGGTTTCCCACCTGGCTTGTCTGGCTCTGGGTTTCTCAGGTCAAAGCTCACCATCCTCATGGGGGTGACCACCATGGGCCACCCAAGGAGGAGAAGCATCAGTGGTCCTGGGTTTGGAGTCTGACATCCCCAGTTGGGGCAGAGTGGGACTGGTTGGTTTTGGGGTCATTCATTTGGGACACCCCCCTTGCCTGATGGTGTTTAGGGGGAGACTGTGGGGTGTTTGGGAGAGTTTCTTGGCTCAGAGGAATCTCAGGTGTACGATCTCTGGCTTGTGATGAGAAGCTCCCACCCTGCACTCGGCCAGGCAGGGACTTGAAGCGGCTCAGCAGATCTTGCATCCCCCTTTTCCAGACCCCCTGCCCACATTAAAAAACCCTCAGGAGCAGATTGTGCCTGGCTGTCTTCATTCCAGGCTGCCTGTATTTGTGAAACTGGTTTATTCCCAGAACATTGGTCCGAGCTCTGATCTCATTTTCCGGGAGCTGGACAGCTGTCCAGCCCCGATAATCTGAGGTAATGAATCACAGACAGGTCTATCAGATTTGCTGGGTGGGGAGGATGATGTCCAGCCCTGCACATATTCTCTCATTTATCTGTGTGAACGCCGGGGGGGCTGGAAGGGGGTTGATTTTGCCGCAGCGTGGGTGTAACATGTGGGACTGTGGCCTCACCCTGCGTGTCTGCAGTGCTGTTAGGCCAGGTCCGGGGTGGTGGGGAGGATGTGCTTGTGTGTGTTGGTTGGGTGCTTGTGCATCTGTTTATTTTAGCCTGTGACAGAAAGATGCCCCTCTTCTCTCTCCCAGGACACTCATGGGACCATACGGGATGGACCGAACCGTGCACTGCTTTGACTTCTATGACTGTGCAAACGGGCTGGGTGAGTGCAGACCCTCCAGCAGGGACACTGGGGTGGGCTGGGGTAGCTCCAGCATCCCCTTGGCCCCTGTGTTGTGATGTGCCTCCCCATGTGACAGTCTGATACCTCACCAAAGTTATGGTTCCTGTGCCTGCCTGTGCCAAGCACCTGATAGCACGTTTTGCAGCTGGGATGTTAAAATCATATCAAAATCCCAATTAGTTCCATGTTAATGGTGAGCAGCTGAAGTGCTGAGAGCTGTGCAGGAGCCCAGGGCCAGAGCCCCAACCTTGAGCAGGACGGGGGGGAAAGGCTTTATAGGATTTCCTGAATTAAATAAATTAAAAATTTTATTAAATAAATAAATATATATATAAATAAATAAATAGAATCCCCAGCACTTCCCAGTCACCTGCCCCTGTCCTGCTGCAGACTTTCTCCCACCAGAAATCACCCCAATGGACAGTGCAAGGTGCTGTAGCTCTCCTGGGGACTGGGCTGTATGAGTTATTTTGGGAAACTTTAGCCCACAGGTTAAGGGTATGAGCACCCAGTGAGTCAGATGTCCTTCCACAGTGCTCTGAACATCAAAGCATGTAAGAGAAAGGAAAAGAGAAGGTTCTATCCAGCAGAACATGAGAAAGTCCCAGGGACTGCCACTCAGCCCAAAGGGATCCAACAAAGCATCTCATCTGACTTCTATATATCCAGCAGCATAAATACTGGTGCTTTGCCATGGGCTTTATAAAAATCTGTTATCCTGCATCAGGGTTTCTTGGGTCCACCTTGCAGTCTCCCCCAGAACTCAATTGTGAGTGCAGCCCATCCTCCTGCAGAGCAGCTGCTGGCCCCTCTGTGAGGTCTCTGTGACCATTTGGGGACCCTTCCTGAGAAGCCAGACTCACCAGAGAAACAAGTTCAGGTTTCCTGAGCCCTGAGATTAATGATAGATTAATTATTGGCTGTTTCCAGCTCTGGGCTAACGGGACTGTCTGCCATGGAGAAATGGCTTTGCTGACTCTTCCCTTGGTCATGAGGTTCATGAGGTTCACAGGAGCTCAGGAAAATGTCTTTTCTCGGTGAATATGATATTTTAATCTGCAGAGGTGGATTTGGTTGAGTTGATGAGATTTTAGCTGCTGGGTTAGATTAGCTTGTTGAAGGAGGAGAGCCAGGAAAGCCTGACCTCTGGAAGGAGTGCACAGATGTGGCAGCCACTGTGAGCCACTTCACATGCTCCAACTGCTCCCCTTTCCCCCAGTTTGTGGCCAGAGGGTCTTTGCAGGCTCTTGCAGACCCTCTACAGCATCTTGTGATGTGCTGCAGGAAGGTGTAACAATGTGGATTTCCTAATGCTATCATCACCTGACTTCATCCTCTTCTGTGAGGCTTGAAACACCCAAGACAAGGGATCATCCCCCAGAAATCCCAGACTGGTTTGGTTGGAAGGGACCTTAAAGCTCATCTTGTTCCACCCCCTGCCATGGGCAGGGACACCTTCCACTAGCCCAGGTTGCTCCAAGCCCTGTCCAACCTGGCCTTGGACACTTCCACGGATGGGCAATCTGTGCCAGAGCCTCACCATCCTCTGAGCAAAGAACCTCTCCCCAGTACCCCATCTAACCCTGACCTCTGGCAGCTTAACCATCACTCTCTGCTGAGGACCAAGTGGTGCTTGCAGGATCCCCATGTCTGCTGTAGGTGTAGCTGCTCAGAGTATGGGGGTTTTTTGGGAGAAAAGCTCATTCATGAGTTTCCTGCTTAGATGCAGGTGTGTTCCAGCAGAGTTCCTCTGGAGCAGCATCACCCGCTCGGTGCTGGCGTGGCAGGTCAGCGTTTGGCCCCGGGTCTGTTGCTCTGTGGCTTTAGGTAGAAACCCACATGTGAACTTCAGCAGAAGTTCAAAGGGGTTACTGGCAGCTCCTAAAACCTGCACCTCGAATTACGGAATAGCCATCAAAGGGAAGTGCTGATTAAGAAGCATTTCTCAGAAACACTGAGATCCCATTATCTTGACCTTCATCTTCTTAGGACAGGGCAGTGAGTGATTCACCTCCAATCTGTCCCTTCCTCCAGACAGAAAAAGCTGGCCAGGGCCACAAGATCAACAGAGGGATTAAGGGAAATGTAATTGAACATTGCTGGCTTAGGCACAGAGCGGCCTCTCCATGCAGCAGCCGGTGGGGTCAGGATGCTCCAGAGATGATCCCAGTTGGGCTAAACAACCAGATTAGCCAGGACACCCCCTGACCTGTGGAATAGGGAGCTGGGAGCAGGTGAGATTATAGCCTGAGAACTGCGACTATGGCATTAGTGGGAGCGGGATTAGAGGCACCAGAGAAGCTTGAGGGTCTTTAAGAAACTTATAGGATCGTTCAGAGTCTAAAGAAAACACCACCTCGGTCAGTAAGTTCATCTGGAGTTTTCCTGTCAAACTTTATTTTGCAAAAGAGAAAATACTGGGGACATGGGCACCAACTCCAGGACCTTTGCCAGAAAGGAAAGATTAAATAGAGGGATCCAAAATAGGCTAGATTATCTGGCCCTAAGTATGACTTAATAAGCATTATACCAGGACTTTGATGCTGTGACAATTAGAGAGCCGTTATTTACCTACACTGGGTCCCAAACAGAAATTTTGATTGAAGTAAGTGTTAATCAAATGGATAAGAAAATATACTCCCAGGGTGCTGCCACCAAAATCCTTGATGATTCGGGTTTGCTGCCATCAGTTCTGAGCTGTCCCATGGCTTGGTCTGAGCTCTGGAAGGGGTGAGACCTCCTGCCCTGGTGGGGACCCTTCAGTGCATTTTAGGGGGCAGGACTGGCACCCACAGCACCTCCTCGGCGAGGTGATGGGTGGGAGGGCAGCGTGGGCAGAGCTTGGCAGCACCCAGCTGCTTTCCCAACAAGGGAGTTAAAACCCAGGGATTTTTCCCTCCCCCCATCAAAGTTTGAGTGTGTCTGCAGCAATACTGTGAGTAATCGCCGATTTTAATAACAAGATCGGATTTTCTCATGACATCGTTGGGGATAAAGGAGGATTTGTAGATACTTCAGCTATATTAAGGCATTATTACAATTGATTTGCAGACACAAAAGGAAAATGAGTCATTATTGATCTGATGCCTCGGCAGAGGTGCCACTCACACGCAGGTCCCGTGGGTGCTGGGAGATGCTCAGGCTGAGCCTCCACAGATGCAGATTTTTTACACAATTTGTCCAATGTGCCTCATCATTCACAATTACTTCGTGTTCTGATGTGAAGAAAGACGTGGGATGACTTCTTGAGTCCTCACCTTGGCTTAGGCTGGACTTCCAGTGTTCTCCCCATCCAGGGAAACTGAGGGGACTTTGCCTCTGCAGGACCCCCAGTGCCAGGGCTTTCCCAAACCCATTCCAAGTGTGACCCTGCAGCCAGGGTGTCTCTGCAAAGCCCAGCAGCAGCCACTCTGGTCCCATTGGGAGGGGAGAAGTTTTCCAGCCGAGCATCCTGGGCAATAAGCAGGTTTTACCTTCTTTCCCTGAGCTTTGGGGCTGCAGCATCTCCTCTCTGTTCTGGTTTACAGGTGTCTGACCTGCTCCCCCTCCCTTGGGGAGGCTTGTGTTTCTTGGAGATACTTCTTTTGGGCAATATTTCCAATTTGAGTGAATTTCTTTTAAAATGCAATGGAGAACAAAATTAGTGCCTATTCTTGAGGTGTTCTGCTGTGAGTTCCCTGTTCCATCAGTAAAACAACTCCTTACAGGTGCCTGGTTAATGCATTAAGCCCAGAGAATAAACTCAGCACTCAGACAGAGCTGGGATTTTGAGCCTGGGAAAAGCAGCAATTGGTGCACATAGGAACGAACTGAAAAATTGTAATAATCTAATTCTAATATAAAGGTGATTTAAGAGACTAGATCTTTCCCTAGAGACAGATGGAAACTGTGAGGGGCCTTAAAGCAGAGCTTGGGTTAAAAAAGGAAAGGAAACAGGGATGGAAATAGTTCTGTGTCCTGAATAATCCCAGCCCAGGGTCTGCTCCTCTTCCCTCCTGCCTGTTTCAGCAGGGGGGCTCTTGTCTGGGGAAGCAGCTGTGCTCTGCTCCCCGGGGGCAGGACTTTCTTGCACGGGGTCACTCTGTGCACCCAGGACCTCACCAAGGCTCGGGGCAGCCCATCAGCCCGGGCAGCAGCTGGAGGGTGAGGCTGGGCTGGCCCTGGCAGTGCCTCTCTCTGTGGCCCAGCCTGTCCCCAGCCTGCCCTCCTGGCCAGAGCAGCAAAGTGCCTGACCGGCGGCTCTCAGGGGAGATTTGTTAATTAAAGCCAGGCTTTTTAATCCCTCTGTCCACAGCCTGGATCTTCGAAGTAGGACTTAATGAGCCCTGGATAAATAAGTCTCTTGGACCTTTTCCTGCCAGCCAGCTTATGCTCTCCAGCAGGGAAAGGTCCCGTGGCTGGAGGGGTGGCCGTGTGGAGCAGGAGCCCTTTGCCAAAGTGCCACAGGGCACCTGAGCTGTGCTGCTGCAATGAGGGGGTTCAGAGCAGCAACAGGGTCATCTCTGTGCTCGGGTTCCTGCCTCTGGTGCTCCTTCTGGGTCCAAACACTGATAAAAGTGGCTGCTCCTGATGTTCAGCTCTGCCATCAGTGGCAGCATCAAAGACTGTGCTGGAGATGCTGCTGGGGCCTGGCAGGAGGGTGGGCAGTGGGGGTGTCCCCACCACCCCAGTGAACCTGGGGCTTGTCCAGATGTTGCACCTGGAAGTGGGTCCCCTGCAGAAACTCCTTGTCACCAGGAATGTTTTGTATGACAGTTCTTATCAGAGAAATGAGCACAGGCTGAGGCACCCACAGCAGAAGCAGATTCTTTCCTGTCACTGATGGATTTGGAGCTTCTGGAGAGAGTCCAGAGGAGCCCACGAAGATGCTCCAAGAGCTGGAGCCCCTCTGCTCTGGACCCAGGCTGGGAGAGCTGGAAGGGTTCACCTGGAGAAGAGAAGGCTCCAGGGAGACCTGAGAGCCCCTTCCAGTGCCTAAAGGGGCTCCAGGAGAGCTGGAGAGGGACTGGGGACAAGGGATGGAGGGACAGGACAAGGGGGAATGGCTTCCACTAGCAGTAGGGGAAGTTAATGGGATATTGGGAAGGAATGTTGGCTGTGAGGGTGGTGAGGCCCTGGCACAGGTTGCCCCAGAGAAGCTGTGGCTGCCCCTGGATCCCTGGAAGTGTCCAAGGCCAGGTTGGACGGGGTTTGGAGCAACCTGGGCTGGTGGAAGGTGTCCCTGCCCATGGCAGGGGGTGGAACGAGATGATTTTTAAGGTCCCTTCCAACCCAAACTATTCCATGATTCCGTGAACTTTGGGTTGAGGCTGCATCCCTTTGAGACTGCCCATGGAAACTGATTCTCCTCCTTTTGTATGGACTCTGCTTTCCCTCCAGGTATTAAGGTCATTGGTGGCATCAAGGAACTCACTGGAGAAGAATATGGAGTTTATGTCAAGAGGATCCTTCCAGGGGGTGTTGCTTATGCAGATGGTGAGTTAAACACAGTGCAGAGCACACAGAGCCTGGAATAGCCCCAATCCAGTGTATTTATTTTACACATTGCCATAGTAGATATTTCAGTGGGAAATGTGGGACATTTCAGGTGCTTCCTCAGAGTTTTTCCAGTAGTGGGGGTACTTTTTTAGCGTGGCAGTTGTTCTAACACTCAGTGGCAGCCTTGGATTGGCTTCTCAGCACATGTACAATTGCTTCGTGTCTCTAAAGCTGTTCCCATCTCTGCCACAGCAGAACTTCACTTGGCTGCCTGTCCTTCCCCACCTGCCACTCACTGCCTGTAGCCCCAAAATGACCTGAGATCCTTTTGCAAATTCAGCTCTGCTCTGGGTCACTGATTTAATTCTGAATATGTTCAAATAAGTAGGTATTAGGGGTCTGCAGAGTTCACCTGTTAGAACTTAAGCCAAAAAGATACATTTTTTTTTCCCAAATGTTACATCATTTTTCCATCCAGTAAAGGAAAATAAATCCAGAACAGGTGGAAGTGCCAGTCATGGTTTTCTACCTGACCTCCAACTGAACTATGTGACCTCAAACTGAATTAAGTAAAAGCTTCATTGCATTTTTTGGAATTTACTTTCGTAACTTCCTGGAGCAGAGGAAGTGCTGGGACATTGGCACAGGTTGCTCCGGGAGGCTGCAGAAACTTCATCTCTGGACATCCTGAAGAACAGGTTGGACGAGCCTCTCCGGAAGGACCAATGCATTTTTCATCCTGTCTCTGGGCAAAGGCAGGATCTGCCCAGCCTCTCCCAGTCCCTCCAAGCTGTACTTTCTGGAGTTTCTATCCATTAGTTTTCTTTTCTAGGGCGCCTGCAGCCAGGAGACCAGATCCTGGAGGTCAATGGAGATTCCCTAATTGGGGTTACAAGTGAGAGGTACCATATCCAAATGGAAATTTGGCATTCCTGTTGCTTTTGTGTAATTCTGGGAAGTGGCTTAGGCTGCGGGTTGCATGGAGGACACCAGGGAATCACTCTGTCTGTGCTGTTCCCAAGAGCCCAGTTGGGAATTCTCAGACCAAAAAGATTTGATATAAAAATAGACCGGTGAACCCAAACAGTATTTGTGAGATATTCAGACATTTCCCCCAAATGCTGGGGTTTTACACAGCTCCTGGCACCCCCACTCCATCTGCTCCAGCTTCCCAGCCAGCCCTGCAGCTCCCAGCACAGAAGATTAGCTGGAGCCTAAGCCTGACAGTGCTGCTCTGTGTGGGGGATTCCCTGTGGAGCCACAATCCAGCCCCTCAGCTCCCCACCAAGGAAATAATTAACGGCTCCAGAGGAGCAACAACACTCTTGGGGCTCCCCTTTCCCACTAAACATGGGGCTAGGCCGCTGTCTGCCTTAAATGCCTGCAGGGTGTGCTGGATGGATGCTTGGGAAGCACCATAAGGAGCTTGTCCTGCTCCCAAAGCCCCAGAGCAGCTGGGTTTGATGGTGGAAGTCCCTGAGGACACCTCTGTGGCTGTGGGAGGCTGTGCCTGGCCCCAGCACACTGCTCTGGCTCCCATGGGAATACCTGTATTTTGAACCAGAAAGGGGCCGTCCCTGAGATGGAAACTTCCACAGGGAGGGGATTATAGAATCATGGAATGGTTCAAGTTGGGAGGGACCTTAAAGACCATCTCGCTCCCAGCCCCTGCCATGGGTGTGCTGGGAGGTGTTTGCTCACCACCATGGGCACCCCCTGAGTTTTGTTATCAGGGACTTCTCATTTATTGCAGAACTGGGAAAATCGGGATGTGAGCTGGCTGCTCTCTGGCCCCACAGCCAGAACAGGGAACGTGTCCATTCCACGGGCATCCAGCTGGAATTGGTCACTCAGCTGCTGACAGGGCTTGCCCAGGCCACGGGTCTCTGCCCAGTTCACACAAGCTGTGCTGTGAGGCTGGGGGAGCTCGGAGGGGCAGTGCTGTGAGCCAGCCACGGGCTGTGTCCGTGTTTTCCAGGGCCGTGGAACTCCTGAGGACGGCCGTCGGCCCACCAGCCACATGCGCCTTCTTTCATCCGCCGCCATGACGACGACTCAGGGTGAGGGGGCTGAGGGGGGTGAGGGGGGGTGCAGGGGTGGTGAGAGGGTGGTGAGGGGGTGGTGAGAGGGTGGTGAGGGGTGGTGAGGGAGTGGTGTCACACCGGGCAGGGGCATCGTGGCACTCCCTGGCACCACAGCCAGAGTGCCCTGGCGTGGAGGCTGAGGTGGCCACTGAGATGGCCCAGTGTCTTTGGTAACTCTGTGCTGGTGGGAACACAATGGGGCTGTAATTGGAAGGGAAGCAAAGCTGGTGGCTCCCAGCTCCAGCCCTGACCGTGCCGGGTCTGTGGGACATTCCACAGCTGAGCAGATTTCCACAGGCCTTTTCCCAGGGAGGACCAGGGCAGCTCCAGCCTTGGCTGTAGGGTGGCACAGCTCCCCCAGCTCTGCTGTGTGGTGATGAGCTGCCTGTGGTTTATCATGTCCTTCAGAGCTTTGGATGAAGATATACAGGTGCAGCAGGATCTTCCTTTTCCTTTCCAGTTGGACACGTTAAGGTCTTCCTTGTCCAGAGGATTCTTCTCCCCTTGCCGCTCCCTGGAAAACCTTACTTTTTCTGGAGAGGCTTGGAGGATTCAAAAGGAGAAAGAAAGAGTTCAGTCTTGTCTTGGCTGGATTTAGGCTGTGTGGGACAATGATGGTCCCAAGAGAGAGGGCAGAGCTAGGGGAACCAAGATACAGGATCAGCAGGGTCTTTCCTTACATTACCTGGAAGATCTGGCACAATGTGGTGGCACATCCTCTCCCTGGAATAGAAACACAGGTCTGGAAAGCTGAGGTGCACCAGGAGCCATGGAAATGAGGGTGGGTTTCAGCAGAGCGTGGCCGTGGGCCCACAGGCTGCTGGACCAGGGCTTTGCACCATCTGTGGGTGACTGGAGGTTACAGAGGCACCTGCTCAATGTACCCACATCCCATTAGGGTGGAGGTGATGGACTCATTCCTTATCCATCAGCCACTGTGGAGAGTTCCTGCCTTGACAGGAGAGTGAGAGTGCTGTAATGACAGAGGTGAGACTAATTCTGACACAGCAATACACTGGTGGAAGAATTATTTGCTATTAATGACGGACTGCTTTTTACCCACCCTCTTCCACTGGAAATAACATCTCCAATTATTCTATTAAGTGCAAGTCCTTCAGCAGCTGCTGAGGAAGCGCAGGGTGAAGCAGGCAGGTCACCTCTGGTCTCAGTAAGGATGCAGCTCTGTACCACAGCACTTCCCCTGGGAAGTGACAGTGGGAGCCTCTGGGGGACAGGATCCCACCCCTCCCAGCAGGAGCATCCATCCCTCAGCAGCAGCACTTGCTGCAGCAAACACTTCATTTCTCAGCCAGAGCCCCCCGAGCAGGTTTTCTGCCTTCGCCCTGCTCTGTTCTGAGCTGTTCGGGCATCTCTCTGCGGCTCCTAATCCCCTAAACTGCAGCAGATGTTCTCCGAGCACACGCACCGTGGCTCTGCCGGCGGCTCCGGCTCCCCCTGCAGCTGCCGCAGTCCCCACTCGCCCTGCCCGGAGCCGGGGGAGGCCGGCAGGGCAAGGAGACTTTGAGCAATTTATTTGGCCTCCGTTTGCTGTTGGTTATCTGTTAAATCTGCAAAAGGTTAGCCAGAGGGAGAGGGGGGAAAGTAATCAGTTTATTTATTTTTTTTTTCAAAGATTTGCAGAGATTTCACTTACATAATCATCTCACAAACTGTTTAATACACGAATACATATCTCCAGGATTAAGGGCTGTGGGAACAGGGGGAAGGATTTTTCTGCTCTCTGCTTTTTTTCCCCCCTTAGTTTTGTCTTTTATTGATGCCCTGTTATCTTCTAAGTCTATCCTTGAGTGTGGGTGAGCAGACAGCTGGGTTGAAATGGGCTCAGCTCTGGAGGTGCCACATCATGAGTTGTGGGCAACCTTAAACCTTCCCACTGCCCAGCAAAGCAGCTCACGAGACCTGAAAGCTGAGAAGGACACAGGGAGGACCATAAATCAGTGTATTTTCAGATCCTTCAGAACCCCAGAGTGCACAGAGGAGGGAACGTCATGGCTCTGGGTTTGGATGACAATCCGACCTGCCTGCCAATTTTTCCAGTGACTCAGCTGAGTAGCATTTTGTTGTGGTTGCCCTGGGGTGAATTTGACTCATAAATGCTATTATTTGTCCCTGGAGTTAATTATAGGCCCAAATTACCTGTGCTTTTCATGGAACTCAGGCCTGGCATGTATCAGATGCATGTTTTCAGCCTGTCGCATCAGCCCTGCTGCACAGAGGGGCAGCAATGCCAGGGCTTAAAGCAGAACATTCAGATTTGGAGCTGGACATGCTGGGTTTGGGGGATGGTTAGCTCCAATTTTTGCCTGTGCTCACCTTCAGCTAATGAGGATAATTTTATTGCATACACATAATTATTGTTTATTCATTCTCAGCCTGGGAGTTACAATAGGTCCCTGTTTCTCTGTGCTGCACAGATATCATCCTGGTCTTTCAGGTTTATCACTGTGAGAAAGACAGTTTGAGCTGCACCTCCTTGTCCTTCATGATAAAATGCTAAATACATCGTGTCTCTGCAGTGTCATCTCGGGGAACACGGGCTGGGGATTAACAGGGCTCCCACAAGGAGCAGCAAGGAAAGTGGGCAGCTTCTCTGCAAGTGCCCAAGCAACAGGCAGGAACAGAATCACAGAATCATTAAGGCTGGAAAAGACCTCCGAGCTCATCAAATCCAGCCTTTGACTATCTCCATCTTGTCAACCAGACCAGAGCTCTGAGTGCCATATCCAGTCATTTCTTGACTCCATCACCTCCCTGGGCAGCCCATTCCAATGCTTGGCCATCTTCCAGTCAAGAAATTCCTCCTGATGTCCAACCTGAGCCTCCCCTGGCACAGCTGGAGGCCGTTCCCTCTCCTCCTGTCCCTTGTTCCCTGGGAGCACAGCCCGACCCCCCCCAGCTCCCCCCTCCTGTCAGGGACTTGCAGAGCCAGAAGGTCCCCCCTGAGCCTCCTTTTCTCCAGGCTGAGCCCCCCCAGCTCCCTCAGCTGCTCCTTGCTGCTCCAGCCCCTTCCCCAGCTCCGTTCCCTTCCCTGGACATGCTCCAGCCCCTCAGTGTCTCTCTTGTTATGAGGGGCTCAGAATTGGATACAAGACTTGAGGTTGGCCTTTGGGTTGTTGGTCTGACCACTTGGTGCTAAACTGGCAGGGAGGGCTGGGACTGACTCCAGCAAGCCTGGGGGTGTTGGGGACATGGGCTGTGCTTTGGGAAAAACACACATCCTTTTACAGAGCAGCTGAGATGCACCTGTGCATGTCACTGCTTCCATCCCACCCTGCCAGTGGTGGAAATGATGGAATGCTTTGGGTGGGAAGGGACCTTCAAGACCACTCCATTCCCACCCCCTGCCATGGGCAGGGACACCTTCCACTAGCCCAGGTTGCTCCAAGCCCCATCCAGCCTCGGCCTGGACACTTTCCGGATGGAGCAGCCACAGCTTCTTGGCACCTTGTGCCGGGGCTTCCCCACCCTCACAACAACAATTCCTCCCAATATCCAGTCTAACCCTGCCCGTCTTGCAAGTGGAAGCACATATCCCCCTTGGCCTGTTCCCTCCATCCCTTGTCCCCAGTCCCCTCATCCAGCTTCCTGGAGCCCCTTTAGGCCCTGGAAGGGGCTCTCAGCTCTCCCTGGAGCCTTCTCTTCTCCAGGTGAACCCCCCCAGCTCTCCCAGCCTGGCTCCAGAGCAGAGGGGCTCCAGCCCTTGGAGCATCTCCGTGGCCTCCTCTGGACTCTCTCCAACAGCTCCACGTCCTTGTGCTGTTGGTTCCCCCATATCTGGAGGCAGCTCTGCAGGGGGGTCTCACCAGAGGGGGCAGAGGGGCAGAATCCCCCCCTCCCCTGCTGCCCACGCTGTGGGATCAGCCCAGGGCACGGGGGGTTTCTGGGTCCCAGCACACACAGCCAGGGCATGTCCAGCCCCTCACCCACCAGCACCCCCAGATCCTTCTCCCAGGGCTGCTCTCCATCCATTCTCTGCCCAGCCTGGATTTGTGCTTGGCATTGCCCTGACCCAGGTGCAGAACCTTGCACTTGGCCTTGTGGATCTACATAAGGTTCACCCAGTCCCACCTCTCCAGCCTGTCCAGGTCCCTCTGGATGCCCCATCCCTTCCCTGCAGTGTGTGACCTCACACACAGCTCTGTCAGCTCCAAACTGGCTGAGGGTGCCCTTGATCCCACTGTTGCTGTGATCTGCATGTGAGAAAATCTGCTTTTGTGACGCTTTTGCAGTGCTTTGGGTTCATGGCTCCCACTCACCTGCAGGTTTGGTTTTTTTGAGGCAAACTATTAATTTCTGATGTCACAGGCTCCACTTTCTCTCCCAGCTGAGGTTTCCAGACGCTATGCACTCATAACCTTTGATGTAGGAATCACCCTTTGTTCTCCCAAGAACAAAAGGGCGGGACAAAGAGGCATTATGAGATAAAACAACAATATCTTCTGCAGGAAGATTGACCCCCTGCTGCTTAATCTGTAGCAAAGTCACCCTCCAGCTGGCTGTGCTGGCAGACCCCGGCATCCTGAAGGCTGTGTGGGACAGAGCTCTGTTACAGGCATCCTCCAGACCTCTAATGTTTGCATCCTAATGAAAAAAAGCTGGAGAAGGCTTGTTAAAATGAACTTTCCACCTAATAGAACGCCATGGTTGTTGTTTTTTAATAAAGCTGGGCATTTTAGTCCTGCAGGCACCTGACAATTCACCATGTTTTAGCAAGGGTCAAATTTTAAATATTAAAGGCATCTTCTGAAGTGTCTTGGTGTCTGAAAGCACAGAGCTGGCATTCCCTCAGTGTGCGTGTTCATCACTCGGCAATGTTTGGGCACCGTCTGCCTGTTTGCAAACTCCTCCAAACACAGCACTGAGCACAAAATTAATTCCCAGGAGATTGACACCAGAAAGTGTATTGCTTCCTGCTGGGATAAGTGTGTGCCTCGAGTTAGTCATGTGTTTATGTCCCTGCTGGAACTGACACTTGCAGCAGTGACCAACAAAGCCGGGCTGGGACGGTGGCGCGTGACGTAGCATTTAGTCACATCATGCTGGGCTGGACCCGGGCTCAAGGGGCAGCCCTGGGCTCCCAGCTCGTTGTTCAGGCTCCTGAGCAAACAATGCTAAATACTGCTTTGTGGAGGAACTGAACAGCACAGAATAAACAACAACAAAGGGTGCTCAGGCCGTGCATGTCCTCGCTCAGTGTTGGACAGCTCAGATCCCTGACGGGGCTCGCAGGGCTGGAGGAGCACAAGAGCTGCTGAACGAGTCACATTTGCATTGACTAAGACTATTTTAGCCATTGTTTTAGGTTCATAACCTGCTCTGTGCTCTGATGGATTATTATCTGAGGAAAATGTAACAATAGGTGACCACAGAAATACCCAGCCCAAAACACAACCCAGCTGCTGAAGGCTTGGGAACCACTGGAAATAATACAGCAGATTCCAGCGCCTTTGACCTGCCCCTGCACTGGGTCAGGGAGGGGTAAGGCCATGGCTGAGTGAGTGACCAGTGAAACTGGGGTGAATCACCTGTAGAAACACAGCAGCTTTGCTGGAAAGTGGAAAAATTCTGCTAAGGTAAGATCCACCCAAGGCTCAGCCCAGGGAATCACAGAACAGCAACCACTGTCCTACTGCTGTAGGAGCTGAGTTGTCCTTCCACTTTCCCAGTGCTTGTGGAATCATTCAGGTTGGAAAAGCTCTCTGAGATCTTCCAGACCAACCATTCCCCCAGCACTGCCAAGGCCACCACTAAACCACATCCCCAAGTGCCACATCCACACATTTTTTGAACATTTCCAGGGATGGTGACTCCACCACTTCCTTGGGCTGTTCCAGTGCCTGACATCCTTGCAGTGAAGAATTTTTTCCTAATATTTTATATATATTTTGGTGTCCAACTTCATGAAACTTGACACCCCTCAAGCACAGTATGTACAGGTCACACAGGGCTGGCCCAACACGTGGTGGGTCATGAAAACATCACCACATGTCTAACACTTTCTGGGGGGTAGATCCAATAAATAATTACAGTGCTTAGAGAATGGCTTTGATCATCCTTATATCCTTTATACTGTTCTATCACTACAATGGCTGGAGACCACAGAGCCTGGAAGATGCTGTGGTGGCATCTTGACTGTTCCCAGGAAGTTTGTGCCCAAGAGGTGAAAACTAAAACAGCTTTGTGGGAGGTGGGGGTTCTGAACAAAGTAATTGTCTTTTTTTAAGGTCATGGGTTTAATTGATAAAGACAATAGTGTCGATGCAAATATTGGGATTCACCAAGGGATGTCACTGAGTATTGTGTGACACTTGGGTTTTAAATTAGCATTAGATGGAATGAATAAGGCATAAATTTGATGGCAATATTAGATAAGGCATGCACTGGTCTTTGAAGTCTGTTAATGAGCTGGTTGTTACTGGGAAGATGTAAATTACTGAGAGCATTTCCAGCAGGAACCCGAGGAGCTGATGATTCATTCATCATTTAATATTGTTGACTCTAATCTAGCCAATAATATATAACCTGTGTCCCGGTGAGGAACGCAGATGACACAGCGTCTGCGTGTGTGTGAGAGCTGTCTCCTCGCTCAGGGAACTTTGCTGTGGCTGCTTTCCTACAGGTTTATGTCTTGAGCTTGTCTGACTGTCAAGCCTGAGAGCGAGCCACTCATACCCAGGCTTTTCCTGGGGCTATAGCATCAGGAAGGCACCTTCCCATGGGGATTCCCTCATGCCTTCAAAGAGGACATCTAATGGTGCTGCTGTGGCCACAGAAACAACACTTTCAGGGTCTCTCCCACTGCCTGGCTGCTTATTTATTGGCATGTGTAAGAAATTAGTCATCCTTGAGGCTCTTCTCTCTGCCAAAGGTCGGATTGATCAGGTAGGGTGGGGTTATAAAGGCTGGGTTATGAAAGGAGGGGACCCCCCCGTTGCAGAGGGACAGATGTTCCTGGGAGCAAAGAGCCAAGGTGGCTGGGATGGATCAGGAGGCTGATGAAGATCAACATGATGATGTCACCCCTGTCCATGTCTCCTCATCCAAAAGGGTGTGAGAGGCTCACGGCAGCTCAAAGAAAGGTTTCAGAAATGAGGCAGGAGTTGGTAAACATGGATAATGGTGGTTCTTAGTGGGGTTTACAAACCCCAGATGTCACACGTGGCAAAGGGAAGGCCACAAAGCAATTCACCCGTGGTGTACAGGCCGTTCCAGCTCATTGAGGGCTTGGGTCGTTACACGGTGGTCAAACTCCACTGGGAACAAAGCACTAAGGGAGGTGCCTGAGCATGGAGCCAGCTCTCCAGGGGATTTTCTGGATGAGATTGTGTGCAGGTCTTTGTTAAGGTGTTATGCTCCAAGAGCTTCATCGGAGATGTTCATGGAGGGCATCACCATGGATGGATTCAGAGAGTTGGCAGCTGCTTCTGCACGTGCTCCAGAAAGCCACATCCTGTCTTCACTCCAGCAAGAACTAGAAGGATCTGCCTTCTGTCCAGGAAGGAGGAGTAAAAACCAGAGAATAATCTTTATTTAACTACTCTAGAAAGAGTCACAAACTGTCACTTCTGACAGTCTGTTTAATTTGTGTGGTGTGTGATTCCAAAATTTTGAGCCCCGTAGTTGGGGGTGAAAATATTTTGCCTGATTCCTGGGAGGCTCCATGAGGTTGGGTGCAAGGCAGGGGTGCCAAGTGGGATGCAAGGCAGGGCTCCAGTGTCCATCTGCCCTCTTTCAGGAATGACAGTCCTCAACACCAGAGCCTGTCCGTAGGATCACAGAATCATTCAGGCTGGAAAAGACCTTTAAGAATAAATCCCTTCCCAGCTCCTCTTGCCCAAGTTCACCCTGAACACATTCCAGGGCAGGGAAGGAGCACACTGAAGCTCCAGCCCATTGCAGGAAAGCTGCTGTGCCATGAGATTGATTACAGACCTGAAGCCTTGCACAAGCTCCTGAGACCAGGGTGTTCCCCTTGTGCACAGGGCAGCCCTGTCTGCTCCCCATGCTGGAGGGCACGGCCCTGCAGACTTGGTACTAAGTCACTGCCACCAGTGGCACCATTGCCAGGTAATCAGGTGGGGGATAATCCTGAGCAGCAGCTGACTTCACCATGTTGTTGTTTCCAGGAGGGAGTTCTCTGAGCTGCTGGAGAAGTTCGGCTCCCAGAGCAACACGGGCTCGGCGCGGAGCTCGCCGGTCCTGCACGGCGGCAGTGAGTAACTCAGGGCGTCCTTGGGGGGAACCAAAGAGAGTTTCCTTTGTCCCAGTGTAATTCTGAAGGAGCTGGGATTGGATTTGGGCAGGTGTTTGGGTGGAGGTTTGTAGGAAGCTTGTCCTTATTCCAAGCCCAGGTGCAGAGCAGGGTGGCCAGCACAGGGCAAGCGTGAAGCGAGGCAACGAGCCACCTCCTCAGAGGGAACAAGGGATACTTGAGTTGGGATTGTGATCACTCCCCAGATCCCCAGACTCTGCTTAACTGATGTGTCATGCAGGTGACTCCATCAGTACCCATCTCTGCAGGGGCAGCTTTAGCTTTTTGCTCTGGATTTCAAAACATCTCAGCAATAATTCATTCAACCATCACTATTTTTTATTTGCAAATGGGAAATGTTTAATGAGGTGCAAGAGGGTTGATGTAAGCGAGGTGCCAGCACACAAATCCATGTGTGCATGGGGAAGGAAGCTGTCCCTCTGACTTGGCATCCCACCAGCCGGCTGCCAACCCTTCCCTATGGCAGGGGGATGTAGGGCTGCCAGTGGGGTGACATTCTGGATCTGTGCCGAGGGGGCTGAATGTTTCCTCTCCATAAGCCATTTTTAACAAACGTGATTTTCCTAAAAAAGACAGGAATACAGTGACAGCTCTCAGAGGCAGAGCAGGGGAGGAGGGTGATGCTGGGTTTGTGTGCCCTGGACTGACTCGGACTTTGCTGTTCAGGTCGATACCTGGAAAGCACATCCTCGGGCTCCTCCTCACGCTCCCAGAGCCCGCTGCTGCTGAGTCCTGCCAACTCCCACGGGCCCTGCCTCGGGAACGCGGCGCACGCCCCTCACGCACAGTACGTACCCGTCCCGGGGCTGGCCCCACACAGCCCGGCCCTGGTGGGCCATGGGGACACCACCGAGTGTCTGACACTGCCTTAGAGCCACAAAATAATTCCAGTGCTTGGAGAATGGCTTTGTTCCTCCTTATGTCCTCTCCACTGATCTATCACCAATGGCTGGGAGATCACAGCATCTTCTGGATGGCACGGTGGCACCTTGGCTGTTCCTGGGAAGTTTGTGCCCAAGAAGTGAAAAGCTTCCCAGTTGAGGCAGTCAATATATCTGCACTATGGTTAACTATGAAACAGCTCCTCTTCATCCCCTCCAGATCCCAGGGAAAGGTGCTGGTTTACAGCCAGCTGAGAGGACCCTGCACATCACCTTTACAAAACATGCCATGAGCAGAGTGTTCCTGCAAGGTCAGTGGTGCTTTCAGGAGGTGTTTTGGGATCTTGTTTCCTATTGCTCTGCTTCTGGCATGTTGACCCTGTGTACCAAGAGCACAAGCACCTCTCCATACAAACATTCCTGATGCCCTTTGCTTTGGGGTCAACAGCAGTTGCCAAGAGTCACCACCTCCTTTGGTCTCCAGAGCATCTCCTGGAGCGTGTGTTTTCATGTGGTCATCTGTCCCTTTCACATTCCACAGGGCAGAGGTTTGGACAGGCAGAGCTTGTTTTTCTGCACAGTCTCATCTCCGGGGCACTCAGGGTTGTCCTTCTCCAGAGGGACAGCTCGGAGGGTGTTCACAGTCGTGGAATGGGGACCACTTGTGCCCAGGGCTTGCAGCTTCCCTCCCTCTGCCAGCGTAAACAAGCCAAGTTGCTGGTAAAGAGAATCAGCCCTCACTGCAGAACCAGTAAATCCTCTTGCTAAATACCAGCTTATTAGGGATTTGTAGAGGACAAATATTTGGCACCAGAGGTTTAAGCTGCTTGCATGGAGTGAGAGACCCACACGGAGGAGAGGCCAGATTATCTACTTGGCAGTTGGTTTGGACAAACCATCCTTCCTGTGCTGTTAACCCACCCCAGGCTGAGATACAGAAGCCCAGAATGGCTTGGGTTGGAAGGCACCTTAAAGATCATCTCATTCCAACCACCCTGCAACGAGCAGGGAAATGGGCACATAGGCTAGAGAGGACCTGCTTTGGTGGCCTCCTCGCTCAGCACTGCCCTGCTGTGCCTTGTTCTGCTTGTCTCCATGCCAGTGGTCTTCTGGAATCACAGACCACTGATTGCAGCTGAGTGTTGGTGGTCAGCTGAGAGGTGTAATTTGGGCCATGGGTCTTTTCATGCCCATGGCTGCCATCCCTTCTGCCCGGGCTGTCCAATGCTGTGAGCTCTCACTGTGCTGTCACCTGAGGCCCTGCCACCCCACTGAGCAGCAGGACTCAGACACAGTTCAGAGTCACCACAGTGTCTGATATTTTGATTTGAGTGGAGGTTTTAAGGCTGTTAGTTATTTCATGACATCATTTTTGTAAAATCCTTTACCTTAAAACACTTTTTCATAAGAGTAAGGCACATGCACCCCTTTCAGTGCAGTGTCTGACCTCCAGGAATGGCATCACTGGGGAGCACAGGGTGGTGACACGCTGGTGTCACTGTGGGGCACAGGATGCACAGCTGTCATTGTGTCTTAAGCTTTGAGACAACATCAGCAGGACCAGAAAGTTCAGATTGTTCGGGGATTGGCTGCTATGGAAATAAAATGGAAAAGGTGAAAAGCCAGCTGCACCCATCCCATTCGGAGAAAACTGTTTGCTGACTCTTAGACCCTGCCAAATCCTTCCCCAAACCTCCCTGCTGCAGTGGTGCCCACCAGCCCATGGGAGGTCAGTGAAATCTCTGCTCCCCCAAACCCTGACCTGCTGTGGCCGTGTCTTGGTGGCCTGTTGGGTCCTGTCTGGTCACCCTTGGAGAGAAAGGTCCCACCTGGTTGCTGTTCCATTTACATCCTTCACTGGGAGAGCCATCTCTCCCCCTGCCACAGCAGCACTCACAGTGTAGTGGGTGTTGCTGCAAAGGATGACCATTCCTTAGGGAATCTTCCAAGATTTTGAGTTCCAAACCTCAGTTTAGACACACTCAGCTGTGTATCCCAAGCTTCCCTTGGATGTTTCCTAAGAGCTGCTTAATACTTGACCAATCTGTAACTTGCTGTCTGGTGATTTAGCTGGATTCAAGCAATAACCATGTTGATCTTTTGTGTGCTTTTAGCTATAAAAACCAGGAGTGCCAAACCTATTCTAGTTAAACCTTTAGTTTCTTCTCCATTTTAACCCTGAGATGAGCTCAGTTGGTCAGAACATGGTGCTGATAATATCAAGGTTGTGGGCTTGACCCCTGTATGGGCCATTCATTTAAGAGTTGGACTCGATGATCCTTGTGGGTCCCTTCCAACTCAGAATATTCCATGGTTCTGTGAGTATTCCCTGGTATTTGGGATTATGTGAGCCAGTCACCTTCGTAACGCTGAACAGTGTCTACCAAGGAACAAGAGCCTCTTTCCAACTCATCTCCTCTCTCCAAGGCTGGGTGGAAGAAAGGATGCAGGGAAAAGGTTGGGAGAAGGTAGAAGGATCATGCACGGGAAGAAACCCAGGCAGAGTTCGTTCAGTGACATGGGAAAATAACCCGGCTCACCTGGAGTCACCTGCGAACGTCTCTCCCTTGCAGCTGCTCCATTGACTCAGGAATCCAGAGCATTTCCATAGCAAACTCCTCCGGCCTGGGGCTGGCAATCAGTGGTGGATCTAACAGGCCTGATGGGCCTATGATTTATGTCCAAGAGCTCTTGCCAGATGGTGACTGTTATAAGGTAAGTCAGCGTGGAGACCCTCGGTGGCCTCTCGGGACCTCTCCTGGAGGTTGGAGCTGTTCTGAAACAGCTTTTCTAAGAGTAAATGGACAATGCACTGCACAGGCTAATGAGGATTTGTGTTGCAGGAGAAGGCTTTGGGCAGAGACATTCCTTCCCAACGCTGTGTCTTTCTCCCTGTTTGTTTAGGATGGTCGGCTCCGACCTGGTGACCAACTAATCGCCATCAATAGAGATTCTTTGGTGGGCAGCACACATGAAGAGGCCAGAAAAATAATTGAAAAAGCCAAATTCAGGTAGGCATAGAACATATTTCCTGTTGTCATCATCAGGGTGCTGTTGAGTCTTAGGCAGAAACCCTTCATGTCATCTTTGTCTTCAAGAGCATCATTAGTCTTAAATGATGCTTCGAGATGGTCCTGATAGGTGGTCACATAAGGAAATCTTGAAGGTGAGGGTCATCCTGAAGTGTAATCCAGACCTTCCCAATGTTCTGGACCTCATGAATATCTCCTATCACTGCCCAGCAGAGTTCTGCAGCAGAACTGAAGTTCAAAAACCATAAAAAAGGAGGCTCAGGAGAGACCTTGTTGATCTGTAAAGGAGGGTGGAGCCAGGTGGGTGTCGGTGTCTTCTCCCAAGTAACAGCTGATGGAAAAAGAGACAAAGGCCTCAAGTTGTGCCAGGGGAGGTTTAGATTGGATATTAGGAAAAATTTCTTCATGGAAAGGGTTGTAAAGCCCTGGCACAGGCTGCCCAGGGCAGTAGTGGAATCACCATCCCTGTCAGTGCCCAAAAAACACGTAAATGTGGCACTTGGGGACATGGTTTAGTGGTGGCCTTGGCAGTGATGGGTTAAGGGTTGGACTTGATGATCTTAGAGGTGTTTTCCAACCTTAATGATTCCATGATTCTATGAATCTATGGAACAGAGCTGGTGCAGATCCAGCTGCGCTGGTGGAGGCTGCACGGGCTTAAGTGAGATTACCCTGGAGACAGAACCAGGGCATGGAAGTTCTGCAGCTTTGTCCCTTTTGTTTTGTTAATAAGATGTCCTGTATTTGCTGTTTGTTTAAGACACGAGGGAAGCACAGAAGTGGCCTTTATTCCTGGGAGGGGACGGTTACATCCTGGACTGTCAGTGCACAACAACATCCCATCACCACCTCCGAAGGCTGTGGGAAACGGCCTGAGCTCCTGCAGGCTCAAGGTCCACGTGAGGTCCCCAGAGGTAGGCTGAAGTTCATATCTCACAGCACAGATCCTGTGACCTTTCTTTGATCAGAAAATTCATCTTTAGGGACTCCCTGGCAATATTTTGGGACAGTGGAAAGTCTGTAATACTGATACACGTGGCCCTGTTTTACAGGCAGGTATTTTAAATTTGAAATAATTTCTTCTCTCTTGGGTTTGAGACAGAGAAGGATCTGTGGAGGTAATGAGAGGAATTTCATCTCCAGGGCCTGCATTCAGACCTGTTCCAGGAGTCTCAGGGTTTCAAAAACAAAACCCTTCTGTGGATAGCAACCTGCATCTCATTCCACTCCAGTCATAGAGCTGGAAGGGATCTCTGGAGTCAGTTTGATCTAGGCTGGCTCCTACCCAAAGGCAGGAACAACCCTTTATTCTTCAAGCCCTCTGATGAGGATGGATCCAGAGCGTTCCTACGCAGCCCATTGCTGCTCCTGACTGCTCTAATGATAAGCCAGGCTCATTCCCCCTGGGAGGCCGAGCTCCACGTTGGGTTGGCAGAGACAAGTGCTCCAGCTGTGTGTGCTTGGACACACAATCCTCACGATTCTTTAGGTCTCTGTCTGGATTCTGTGCATTTCTGCTCCTCTCCTGGGCTGGTGCCATGCCAGGTGTACCCTCTGCCCTCTCCCTCAGAAGTTTCCTTTAGAAGTTCCTTTCCCTCATGTCTGTTTGGCTGTGAGCAAAATAACAAAACCCCTTTAAAGAAAAAAGTTTAAAGTTCTGGGACCAAACTCCTTAATCCCCTGTTTTCTTGCAATCCAGAATATTTTCTACCTGTGGACATAAGTAGCAATCACACCCTTCCTTTGGAAAGTCTGATTTTATTTCATTTTATTGTAGCCTTGATAGATCTGAGACACAATTCTTACTCACAGGTACAGTCTGAATGCAAAAGCAGGCAAACAGTGAGGAAAGAGTGGGTTTTTTGGCAAAAGGAAGAGGCCAGCTGGATGTTCCTTTCATACAAGATCATTCACAAAACATCTCTTTCCAGCCCTGTGGAAACATAGACTTGCACAAATGTCATCTGCGTGTTTCTTTTGGGTGCACCAGGCTGGGAAGTGCTTATGAAAAGCAGCAGCAGGCCCTAGAGCTGTAGCTGAGTGGTATGGTCGGATCCTTTACCCACAGCTCACTGTGGTAATTTTGTGTTTGGGGTAAATATTACACCTACTGTGGTCAGATTACTCGGGCCCTCACTGGTGGGTTGGACACAGAGCTTTAGGGAGAACCTCTGTGCAGAAACCAGACAAGGCCAAATTCAGCATCAGCTCTCAGTCACAGTTACATTAAGGACAGATTTGTCTGTGTGTGACCAGAAGTCTTGGGATGGCTCAGGAACATTCCTGTACCAGATGCTCCCAGAAAACCCCCGGAGTCTCTTCTGGCCCATCTGCACATGTGGTGCCTTCATGGGCCAGTTGGGTGGCTCTCTCTTGAACACCTCTATCTTCTGCTCTTTTTAACACCAGCAGATTCTTCTTAGTGACTGTCTGTGCTATTTTGTCTTGTTTTTCTAGAATAGACGTGAAAATCCTTTTCCTGTGCCTTCTTTGTCACCGGACATTTGCCCACCAGAGCTTACGGTCTCAGGTAAGAGTCCTGCTCAACCACTCTCCTTGTGTGGGGGACAAACAGCTGTGGCTCCTCAAGCTCAGGATGATGAAATTATAAAATCACAGAATCCCAAACTGGTTTGGGTTGGAAGGGACCTTAAAGCCCATCTCATCCCACCCCCTGCCATGGGCAGGGACACCTTCCACCAGCCCAGGTTGCTCCAACCCCCGTCCAACCTGACCTTGGACACTCCCAGGGATGGGGCAGCCACAGCTTCTCTGGCAACCTGTGCCAGGGCCTCACCACCCTCACAGGGAAAAATTCCATTCCAATATCCTATTTAACCTTGTCCTCTGGCAGTGGGAAGCCATTCCCCCTTGTCCTATCACTACATTTTTTTATCAGTGTTTATACTGCTGTAGTGGCATTTAATGGGGTGATAACGAGACTCAGCCTGCTCAGAGAGAGGGAAGGCAGCAGCTTGGCTTATTCAACGAGTAGTAACTATGTCCATGTTTGCCCAAAGTAGCAAAACTCTTTACTAAGGCATTCAAGGACTGAGGTATTCACAGTTCATAAATTCTTCCCCTCTCAGCCTTTGGTTCGTTTGCAGCAGTGCCTTTGCCCATGTCAGACATTCAGCAGGTCCCATCACAGGCCACATTCCCTCTGACTGGAATGGGGGGTCCTCGGACACTCAGTGTGACACCAGGCAGTCAGTGACAGTGGTGACATACACACCAACCCTGGTGCTGAACAGGCAGTAAGGATGCCCTCAGTCGGCCAAACTGGGAAATGGCTTCTGGATGTGGCTAAATCAGACTCCTCTCTACATCCAAACTTCACTTTTTGCTTATTTTCCATGCTGTGTTTTTTCTCCCTGCTCTGGGTCTACTGAGCTCTTACCTTTTGTGGAGAGACCGACTCTGTTCACCCAACAGGGTGGCAGCAGTGGAGGTGAACTCAAATCACCCTGCAGCTTCCCAGATCCCTTAGGAATGGCAGGAAACCTCCATAACCTCTGTGACCCAGAGCCCAGGGAGACAACCTCCTCCAAAATACCCCATATCCCTGTGACAGGAATGTTCTCCTGCCCCGAGGCAAAGATAGGCTTTGCCAATGAGTCTCCAGCAAGTGCTGCCCATCCTTCTTGCAGCCTCAAATCCTTCCCCACGTGCTGCCAGGGCAGTGGCTCTGCTTACAAATCCCTGTGCCTTGTTGTAATTCCCATCTGGAAGGCTGAGAGCAAGCACTGGAGGCGAATCGTGTTCAGTCCCTACCTGGGATCGGTGGCAGATGGAGCAGCCGGTGCTGGGCTGGGTGTGTGCCAGCTCTGCTTCCAGGGTGCCTGTGCCACCTTGGGCAACTCAACAGGCTCTAGCTCTGTCTTCCATGCTCCTCTGGAGAGGCCCTGGGACAGGGATTTGCTCTGTCCTCCTTGCCCTGAGGGTCCTGCAGGTGTCAGGTGGGCTCTCAGGTGGCCACCACGGAGAGCCAGCACTGCCAGGGATGGGGACAGAGCAATCCAGCAAAAGCAGTGACCTAATCACTGCCTGATTTAGCTGGGAGATTGATCCCACCAGGTTTTTACTGTGAAATGCTGAGGAGGCTTCGTGTCAGTGTTGCCACCCATGAAAACAGACAACTGGCTTTGAAAGAGCAGCAGTCAGGCTTGGAGCCTGGGCCAGTGCCTGCCGGTCTCTGGGTGCCTGGTGGATGCCCTGGATGTCTCCATGTCCAGGGCTGACAGCAAAGCCACCCAGAGCTAATCCTGATTAGCCAAGCTGGGAAGGGTGATGGCTCCACCCTTGAACTTGGAGAGGGAAGTGTTGGTGGCCAGTCCAGCAAACCCAGTTGTTACCTCTTGCTGCTCCCAGCTCTGGCAGAGTACATGGATCCCTGGATCAGGAGGATCACATTTGTGCAGCACCTCTGCTGCTCCTTCCTCTTGCACTGGGCCCTGCCCTGATGGTCGGGGGGTGTGGGGAGAAGTGATCCAGAGATTCCAGAGGAGTGGAGTTACTTGGCAAAGAGGGGCCTCCCATGGTGTTAATCAGATCCCAGGCAGACAGAAGGAATTGCTTCCTGGGCAGATCTCGGGCCACTGGCATGAGAAGGAATTTTATCACCTGGGCTGAGGGTTTGAGGGTGGGCAGGGGCAGGCACAGCAATCCTGCACCTTTCTGGTCTCTGGTGGGTTGTCCCCAGCAGGCAATGCCTTCTGCAGTGCTTTCCCAGGGAATATCCTGGTTCCTCACAGACAAGGGCTAATCATAATGGAAAAGGTGAGGATCCCTCCAGGGGTGGAGGGGCAGGGCTTTGCTCTGGACCCTTTCAGCTGTGCAGCAGTGCTGAGCCAACTGGATCTTCCAGCTCACAACAGCTTTTCCCCAGCACAGCAGCTGCTCTTTCTGCCTCTTTCTCCCTTTGTGGCCACCTCACCATGCATGTGGCTCCTTCTACCCAAAACACTCTGCCTGCCCAACAGAGGGGAAAAGGGCTAAAGGATTTTTGCAGTCTTGAAGAGGGAAAAAAATCTTGCAGTGGTGTTTTTCCACATTGCTTTTAATCTGTCCATTCCCATGGGTGTCATGAATTGCTTCAGTTTTGCTTAATCAGTTAGAGCAGATGAGAACCAGGCAGATTTTGTTTAATTCTTTTTTTTCACAGCTCACCACAACTGCAGGCCCCAAGACTCCACAAAACTCTGTGACTGGAAATTTCCAAAGTGCTATTTTTGCAGTCCAAGGTCCTTGGATGAAACATCCCTTTTTAAACCATGCAGAAACCCAGTTTCAGAAGGGTTTGCCCCAATATCCTATCTTTCCAAGAGTGGCCTAGTTCAGCCTTTCAGAACTGGATTCAATAAATCCTGAACTTTGATTTTCGTCCTGCTGCACACACATAATATTTCATATAATCAGAGTTCTAAGTTTGCTTTGCAGACATCTCTTTCTTCTACCAAATGCTCCCCCATTAACATTTATTTTTGATTTTTCAGCACCTGCTTCAGCATCTAATCACAAAGCAGCTTCAGGCACCAAACCAAAAGTAGCACTGGATCCCCATATCCGGCTCAAGGATGGGAAACTGGAACTGGTAAGTAGAATGGGTCCCTCTTCCCAAAGCAAGGTGAGCTATGCAGGAAATAGCCCTTCCTCTCTTCAGCTGAGAGTGCTGGAGGTTGACTCCAGCCTCCGAAGGTAAAAAGGAAGAAGGAGTAGTGGAATATCCTGACTGTGTCCAAAGGGGAATTTGGACACACCTTGTCTCCTCTTGGCTATTTCTCAGTGCTCTGGGGGGCTCCAGAAGTCTTCTCCTGGCATTCACACCTCCCTTGGACTACAAATATTTGGTGCTGCCGTTGCTGCTGGGGTGACCACGGGCAGCCTGGTGGGGGCGAGGAGAGGCTGAGATAGGAGACATGTCATCGGGGATCCAGCTAGAACCGCTAATTCTTTCAGCATTTTATGGAGAACCCGCTCTACGGGCAGAGAGCAGAGCTGCCCACTTGCTCACCGAGACCCGGTGAAGGGCAGAGTGCCCTGGGGGGCCGTGTCCCTGTCTGGTTTGGGGTGCATGTCCCCCCGGGTTCTGCTGGGGTTCGGGGGGGACAGCGGGAGCAGGGTCCCTCGGGCAGGGTCCCTCGGTGCCGGGGGACACCGCGGTGGCCCCGATGTGACGAACTTCTGCTGCCACCTGACGGCGGCCCAGAGCTCGCCCTCGGTGCTCCCACCTCCCGGGAGGGCAGAACTCCTCTAAGCCTGCCCAATTCTCCTACAGCGGGATTTAGGCCCGCATTTTGCAGCGACCCCCGCCCGTCGTAGGTACGGAGCAGCTCCTCTGGGTAGGAGGAGTGGGACGCCGGGTTCCGCCTTTCGAAAGCCCGTGTTACACACGGGCACTGCAGCGGTGACAGGGTCGGGGGGTGGCACCGACAGGCACAGCCTGGGGTGGTTTTGGGGTGGCCAAGCCACCCAGCACCCCAAAGTGTGGGAGCCGGCCTGGGAGCCTGCAGCACTGCCTTGCACAGGGGGCACAGGAGCAGCAGTGAGAGACCAGACGGGTCCCAGGGACTCGCTCGTGATGGAAACGTGAGCGAGGATTCATCGCCCGCCCCTTCCCAGGGGGCCTGGTGTGAGGAGCTGAGCAGGAGCTGTGTGTGCAGCCTGGACAGGGCAGTGGTTCATTCCAGCTCTTTCCCAGGGTCTGCTGGGCTCCACTTCGTCCTTTAAAAGCTTTTAGTCGCTGCAGTGAAGTGGGGCTTGCACAGGTTTATCTGCTCTCTGTGGTGCCCTGGGGTTCAACTGATAAATATCAGTAGAAGTCAGGGCATCAGGAGTAATGAGAGGGCAAAAGATGAAGCGGAGAAGCAAAATGTTTGAATGTCTCCTCTCACCATGGGAAATACTCTGAGAAGAGCTTTTATCTTCCTGGTCCTAAACACAATTCCCAGGCAGCAAGAGAAAGGAGAGGAGAGGCCAAGCTCTTTCCAGATGAACCTTGCTAAACTCCACTGGCTATGAATAAAAGCCCTGACAGCTCATCAGAGCTGCAAATCTGACTGCAGTCTGTAGAGAACGTTCTTGGAAGGACGTGAACATGTCCCTGTCTTCAGGAACAGACATTTCTGTGCACATGTAGGAAAGGAGAGACTGGAAACCCAACCAAAGCCTGCTTCTTTGGGAGATGCCTTCTGGAGAGCCACCTCCAGGAGAAACCCAGCACCAAGTGTCTTCCCAGTGCTTACTCCAAAGAGTTGCTTTTCCAGTATTTTTCTTTTTAAAGGCTCCTTGTTTCTGCTCAAGGTTCTGCGGTACCTTGGCCTGGATGTGACCGAGGAGAAGAAGAGGCAGTTGCGGCAGAGCCTGACCACGGACTCGCAGGGGACGGTGGCCTACGGAGGTGAGTGGGACCTGGGCTGGGTCTGGGGAGCTTTGCTGGCAGATAAGAAAGGAGAGAGGCAGCAGGTGAGACCCTGCCTGGGCACTGATGGAGCCTCGAAACAGTTAAGAAAAGTCACAAACACAAAAAAAGGCATTTGGTAGAATCACAGAGTGGTTTGGGTTGGAAGAGACCTTAAAGCTCATCTCATTCCACCCCCTGCCAAGGGCAGGGACACCTTCCACTAGCCCAGGTTGCTCCAAGCCCTGTCCAGCCTGGCCTTGGACACTTCCAGGGATGGAGCAGCCACAGCTTCTCTGGCCAACCTGTGCCAGGGCCTCCCCACCCTCACAGGGAAGAATTTCTTCTTAACATCTAATCTAAACCTACCTTTCAGTTTAAAGCCATTCCCCTTGTCCTATCAGATGTAAAATCAGACTAAAATAAAAGTTGCTGCAAGGGCTCACTTAAAATCCCAGCTTTCCAAGCAGGAGCTGACCAGAGGACACACAGAAAATAAAAGCCAGCTCTGCTTTCCATGACCTGCCAGAGCATGTCTGACCCACAAAGTCTGCTCCCCAGAAGGTTCTTAGTAAAAATACAAAGCCATCAGCAATGTCCCCACCAGACAGAACAGACACAAGGCAACTTGGACCAATGTTTTTGTGCAGAGTGAGGGCTGGGACACAAAACCACATGAGGCCTGTGCAAACCTCATGAGGTTCAACAAGGTCAAGTGCAAGGTTCTGCACCTGGGTCAGGGCAATCCAGAGCATGGATCCAGGCTGGGCAGAGAACGGATGGAGAGCAGTTCTGGGAGAAGGATCTGGGGGTGCTGGTGGGTGAGAGGCTGGACATGCCCTGGCTGTGTGTGCTGGGACCCAGAAACCCCCCGGGCCCTGGGCTGATCCCACAGCGTGGGCAGCAGGGGAGGGGGGATTCTGCCCCTCTGCCCCTCTGGTGAGACCCCCCTGCAGAGCTGCCTCCAGATATGGGGGAACCAACAGCACAAGGACGTGGAGCTGTTGGAGAGAGTCCAGAGGAGGCCACGGAGATGCTCCAAGGGCTGGAGCCCCTCTGCTCTGGAGCCAGGCTGGGAGAGCTGGGGGGGTTCACCTGGAGAAGAGAAGGCTCCAGGGAGACCTGAGAGCCCCTTCCAGGGCCTAAAGGGGCTCCAGGAGAGCTGGAGAGGGACTGGGGACAAGGGATGGAGGGACAGGACAAGGGGGAATGGCTTAGATGGGTTAGATGGTATTTTGGGAAGGAATTGTTGGCTGTGAGGGTGGGGAGGCCCTGGCACAGGTTGCCCAGAGAAGCTGTGGCTGCCCCATCCCTGGAGTGTCCAAGGCCAGGTTGGATGGGGCTTGGATTCACCTGGGCTAGTGGAAGGTGTCCCTGCCCATGGCAGGGGGTGGAATGGGATGATCTTTAAGGTCCCTTCCAGCCCAAGCCATTCCATGATTCTGTGATTCTGTGACTGGAGGCTCTGGCATTCAGGTGCCACCTCCCTGATGGCTCCCATCTGTCCCACACAGCCCCTCTTGTCTTGCTTTCTTTCACATCTGAAAGCAAAATGAATCTGGATTTTCAGACTTGTCAATTTAACACCTTTTCTAAGTGCTGAACTCACCGAGTTGACTTTTGTTTAAATCAGCAACATGAGAAATGGCAGCAGGAGGCAGGTGCAGGTCAGGGAAATGCAGGTTTGGCTTGAAGTTTTAAAACTCCCAGAACCACAATCATGAAAATTCCCCTCTGAAAATATCTGGGGGTTTTGGGTTTTAAAAGTAGTTTTTTTTCAATTGGATAAGAAACAAGAGTCTGATAAAGATTGCCAACAACTCATTTAAGCTTGATGGGATTGCTGAGGAACCTGGGAGTGTTAGAGAGGACTGTTTGGCATCTCCAAACCCTCTCTGATTGGCATCAGTGGTGCCCCAAAATCAGTGGCATTTTCTCCTAACACAAAACACTTTTCTCTTTTAGCCTGGTAAAAACTGCTTGTTTCTCACAGATGTTCTCCAAGCACTCAGGGATCTGATGCAGGAGGAGCTGGACGAGGCTGGTCTGGATTCCAACTCCATGCTCTTCACACAGCACGAAGTGGCCAATTTGCTGGATACATCAGCTTTTCATTCCCCGGTCAGTCAGTCCAAAGCTCTTCTTTGTGAAATCCATGGAATTCTGAGATGGGAAAAGCTAAATTGCCATTTTCTGATTGTCCTAGAGTTATAAAGAGAAGGCAGAACTATGCATTAATCATTTTGATTATAGGAAATTCTATAAAAGACCTCAAACTACTCATTTTTAATAAGGAAATAATAACATCTATGGGATAATATGAGGAAACAGCTTGGCAGTGATGCAGAAGGAAAAATAGCCGTAATTAATCAATATTAGCTAATTTCATTTGGTTCACAAAATGAAAATTCACTGTAAGACAACTATTGAACAATGACAGGGATCAGAGAGTGAAATCCTGTGGTGTGAAAAAAAACCCCTGGTGTTGAATTATTTAATGTGCATTTTTATCTTTTGCATAAAAACGCTGACTCCTTCCTGAAGTGGTTTGGATTGGATGTGTGATGAGTCTGTCCCTCTCCTTGCAGACCTTTGACTCTCTCAACTGCAATGGCAGCGAGGACCTGGAGCAGCTGCAGCTGGAGATGACGGATCTGCGGCACGAAGTCCGACGGCTCAAGGTGGAGCAGCTTTCCTGGCTGGGGCCTTCTCTTGAGGTTGTCCACGGGGTAATGGTGTGGCCTGTTCCTCTTGAGGAGTCGCCAGTTTGCATTCTGTGCATTCCTTGTCACAGAGGAGCCTCTCACCCTCTACTCTCCTTAATTGCCTCTTTCTCACTCTCAACTTCAAACAAAACCTTGTTTGTACTCAAAGTCTGCAGTCCCTTCCTAGAAGAGTTAATATATTTAAAAATACCAAAGAGTGCCTCACGAGTCATTCAAGTCCATGATAAACAGAAGGAACCACCTGGGCTCCCACCCTCTCTTGGCTGCAGATCCCCAGTGAGGCTGTCAGCACCATGCTTGTGTCCAAGGGGGTTTCTGCAGACCTGCAGTTCACAGGCCAAAAAAGCTTTCCCTGTGGTGGGGAGAGTGCACAGAACTCCCTCTGTAAAATAATATTCTGGTGGGTAGGGGCTACAAGACCAGGGCATTTTCTAGAGAACGTCCTGTCACTTGTTGCTGCTAACCCAGTGAAAATATTTGCTGTAGTCTCTCCTGAAGGAGGTGGAGAACAGCAAGAAGTCAATGGAAGATGAGCTTCAGAGGCTGAACCAGGTTAGTGAAGGGGTTTCTGGGGCCCTTAGGATGAGTTTGGTGGTTGGCAGCTGAGGGGGATGTGGTGAGTTCACCAGAACTTCTCACTGCTTCCAGAAAGCTCTGGGGTTCCTCTCCGAGAACCGGACGCTGCACAACAAGCTGCAGATGGCCGAGGTGGTGCAGAGACAGGCCCACAGCGCCGAGCAGGACTACGAGGAAGTGATCCACTTGCTGGAAGCTGAAATTGCAGAACTGAAGATGCAGCTGGCAGGGAAGAAAGCAAAACACGTCTCTGAAATAGAGGTAATGCAACCCCCCAGCCTGGGAAAGCCCCACAACCTTACAGACCCTCTGTGGGTTCAGAGAGTCATGGAATGGTTTGGGCTGGAAGGAGCCTTGAAGCTCATCTCATTCCACCCTGCCGTGGGCAGGGACACCTTCCACAAGACCAGGTTGCTCAGAGCCCCATCAGACCTTGCCTTGAACACTTCCAGGGATGGGGCAGCCACAACTAAGGTTCCCCTCCTTCTTTTTATACAGGAGAAAATGAAATAGCACATAGATCATTTGTTGTGTGTGACCCCAGGGCCAACATGCTCTCTGGGTCCGTGTTATAATTTGCATCATTCCCACTGTCCCTTCCCAAAGGACGCTGCTTTTGTGTGTGGCAAATGTCATAAATTGGTGCTTCCAAAAGCCAAGGCTGCAGCATCACCACCACCTCTCTCTTCCTTCTGTGTCCCTGTGTCAGGAGGACATCCTGGAGCTGAAGAGGCAGCTGTCCCTGGCCGATGGCCAGCTACGGAAATCAGAAGTCTCACGGAAGCGCCTGGAGATCTGCAATAGGAAACTGCTCCTGTTTGTGCAGGTGAGGTGTGGAGCCACCTCGATGCTGTGCCATCCTACAGCCTCCCACCTTAAGGGGCACTTTGCAAGTCCGATGAACTTCCTGCTCCATAAGCAAGAGGGTTTTTTTTTTCCTACCTCACCCTAAAAAGACACTGTCTGTTGGCTGAGAGGAACCAGGGGATGAACTCGTATATCTTCACATCCCTAAGAGCCATGTCAGCTCCGTGGGGCAGGTTTTGCTGGTGGCTCTGCTCTCCCTGGCTCACCAGCCCCACCGGGATGTTCTGGTTGAGGCTGTTCCAGGAGCTCTGCTGTTGAAATCATCCCTGCAAACCTTCCCTGGGTAGAGCTGCTGGTTGCTTCTCTACAAACTTGAAGAGTGGTTTTGTTCTTCCAGTGCTTCCCCCCCAACCCCAGATTTCCTGAAAAATCCCACACACAATTGGTTCAGTCTTTTAATTGGCTGTTCTTCCACTTCACTCACTGTATTGGGAATACCAGTGTGTGTAATCAGTAAACTGGCCAGTATGAGAGGCTCTAATCCTCAGTGTATCTGCTGTGGCTTCTACTGGCCTGTCCCAAGAGCTCTTCAAATCAAGAGGAAACAGTGGAGCAAAAGGCAATGTAGATGCTGTGTCCTCTGCTCCAGAGAAGGAAGAATTAAAATGCCTCCAGACGGGCAGCACTACGTGCTGGAGCCTGTGCAGTTTGGGGTCAGACTTTGGAAATGTATTTAACTTGACCCCAGGGTCAAACATCACAGGATTTTGAGCACTGGACCAAAATATCTTCCTTTTTCATCCACCCCTCAGTAGTGTCTGGGAAGTCATGACCCATGTATGTAATGAGAGCTTACACGTGCAGGTACAAACCAGAATCCAGGGATTGCTGGCAGCAGTGATCAAGGTTTGCTGAAATATAGCCTGCAAAAATGTTCTTTGGAAGAGGATTTTTGTGTTGCATTTCATGTATTTTAGCACTGGCATTAAAATGCAGGATTCAGATGTGTCTGTGGATTTGCATAGGCTGCAAATGTTGCCTGAGCTGCAAAAGGCCTTGAGATATTCCCTTCAAGGGCAATGAATAAGCAGAAGCTGATTACTGTCATATTAAATCTGATCATCAGGAAAAACCCATGGGGTTTGTTCTCAGGAATTATTCAGTCCTACAAGTTTGAAATCTTTTTTTTTTCTTTTTTTTTTCTTTCTTTTTTTTTTTTTTTTTTTTGTTGCATGGCAGAACGTTCACAAGGTCCTGAGCACACCCAGTCATTTACCAGATGAGAAAAGGTAGGAGATGGCTCCTGGGAATGGTGAACAGCAACATGAAATGTCCTTTTCTGACCTTTCTCAGGAGAAGGTGCTTCACACGTAACCTACCCAGAGTTTCTAAACACGCTTTGGAAGTGAAACTATGGGAGAAAGATGATCTGGGGGCTGCTGGTGGGTTGGTGCTGGGGGGGTTGGCCTCTGTTCAGGATTTTTTGGGGAATGAGTTGCTGAAACACTGCTCTGGTTAAGTTGCTTTGTTAGCAGAGACCTTAAGAAGGTTGTTTCAGAATTTTGACCCACCTGCTTTTCCACACATAAACCAGGTTTTGTCTCCAGAAGCATATATCCTTATTTATCAGCAGTTACAGTAGATGAGTGTAAGCAAAGAGCTTCACATGGCTCTCAACTGCATGAATGGCTGCAGAAATAGAGCTTAGGCTCCTGGACTCCCCCCCAGCCTGAACCTATGTCCTACCATGTGGGAATAAATGTATCACAACTCTCTGTGTGTTTTTAACTGATTAAATCATTGAAAGCTCACTGTCCCATGGATGATGACCAGCCCCTTTAAAAAACCATGTTTTAAGAAGGATGGAGAACAGTTTTTAAGTGTCCAGGATGGTTATTTCTAATGTAATGAGGGGAAAATACTTTAGAGAAATTCTAAAGAATACTTTGATATCTGTCTGTAACAAAACAGTGCAAGTCTGTCTAACAGAGAGTCTCCCATGCCGCTGAGGGGTTGAGATGCAATCCCCCCTGAACATCCAGAATTTATGTAGCACATCCCTCATGAGAGGCTGGCCAGGATTTTCAATGACCCTTCCATGACAGAAGTATTGATGGCACTTTCCATATTTATAAGCGTCAACAATGCAACAGAAGAGGATAAAACAGATGCAGTCTCAGACACATCTCTTCCATCTTCAGATCTTGTTGACCTCTTGCTGTCAGAAGCTAAAGAACTGTTAGCACCAATCCTCTCCAGCAAGGATGGTAAGCACTAAATTCACTGGAGAAACCTGAATCCAAGCAGGTCTCAGGGATGTCTGTCAGTGTCAGGGATAGTTTGCACCACCTTCCACAACTTTTGCCATACCTCCCATACATGTACCTGATTGTCTCATGCAAACAGAGATGGAATTGCCCTCCCTGTATCCATGTGACTCATCTTGGAATCTGAAATGCAGACTTGCAGGGTAAGGAGTCAAAGGTGCCACTTGTGCTCACGCCCACAGGAAAGTGAAAAAAAAAATATCAGGAAGGAGGGTGGTTTCACAGAATCATAGAAATGCTGGTTGAAAGGGACTGCTGGAGATCAGGAGTCAAATCTTCTGCCCCAGGTAGGACCACCCCACTAGATGGGATCTGCAGTGGCTTTAGCCAGCTTTAGTTCAGCCTCCCAGGGTGTTGATCCACAGCCTTCCAGGGTGATGTGTTCCTTCACTGAGGAAGGTTTTCCCAGCACCCAGCCTGAACTGCCCCAGGGCAGGATGTGGCCACTGCCCCCAGTTACAGTGTCTGCACTGCCAAGAACAGCTTGGCTCCAGCATCCTTCTCACTGCCCCTGCAGAGGCAGTGCTGTGGCCTCTCGGCCTCCTCTTTGCCAGGTCAGACATACCCAGCTCCCTCAGCCCTCCCCAGCCTCTCCTTGCAGGTAAGGAGCCCTGGGGCTCCCACTGCTGGACCCCATCCAGTTTTCCAATAGCTTTGAACTAGGGATCCAACCCTTCCTTGTGCCATCCAGGTCTGGCTGCAGCGATGCTGAGCAGAGGGAACAGTCAGCTCCCCATTTCCTTGGCGTACAAACCAGCCACACTGATGAGAAAATCAGAGAAAAGCCATCCAGCTCCATGGGAGTCTGGATTAACTTCCCTAGACTGGGACTCTGAGCTAGTCCATGAGCCATAAACAATTCTTGGCAGCAGTTATTTGGCCCCACTTGTCTCCTTCCACACCAAATGAGTTTCTGATCTCCTTTGTGTCATGACCAGGTGAGCAAACAGCCCCAAACAGGTCTTTGCTCTTTGATGCTCTTCACCAACTCAACATGGCCATGGCCCAGCACTGGATTTCTCTCAGGGAAATAATTGTAGCCTGTCAGGAGCACCTCTGACATATGAGTGTGTCAGCATTTTCCAAGTTCCTGCCTCATTTAAAGGGCAATTATCATAATGTTCATAATGTAGCAGCACATTGGGCATGTTTTCTAACCCTTCACTTACACTTGGCTGTGTGCTTCCATTTGCAGCTCTGCCATGGGATAAGGACCAGTGCCTGCCTGCTGAAGGAATCCCAAATTACAAGGAGTAGGTGTCAGAACCCTGGTCTGTAATTTTGACAACGCGCATACTAAAAATTCCTGTTTTGTTTGTTGGAGTTTTTTTAATCAAAACTGTTGCTTGACAACTTTTAATCAGATAGAGGCCTCCAGATGCCATGTCAGAGAAATACATCCCTTTCTAGACAGCAAGAGACTTCCTGCCCTGTACAGTGAAGGATGCTGTGAATTCCTGGATCTCTCTTTTGTTTTCTAAAATGTTGTTATTCCTTCAGGCCAGATGGGGATTTGTGGCTCTGTGGCTTGTCTAGCTGGCATTTTTGTAATGCATAAGGGAAAAATCATCACTGAATGTGTTAATCTTTCATGCTGTGGTATCAGGATGCTGTCAAGCCCTGGCCAAGGAGAGCAGGATGACATGGTTTTGTTTGAACCTTAAATTTCCCTAAAACCTCTTAAATGGCTTATATTTAACAGAGCTGTATCCTAAAGTTATCTGCTGAAAGGGCACTTTAAGACCTAAATGTCTCCTACTACTGTCTGAGCTGATCACCTTAGCTCAAACTGAAGACTTGCCAGCACAGTTCTTCAGTTAGGTACAAAATAGACATTTGAAAACCACAATTTCAAGGTTATAAAAAGCATTTTCAGACAAGACAGATGGCCAGCACAGACCACTAACCAGGCAAGATCCGTGGCCTCCTCTTCTTTCCCAAGTAACCAGTGCTGTCTTCACGTTGTCCTCTGTGTCCTCCTCCCAGACCACCTAACCCCTATTTCTCCTCTCCAGCCACCTCCATCAGAAGACCACGTGGCCCCCTCCTGCGAGCCAGACCAAGAGTGATGAACCACAGCCACCGAGTCCAGCGGAGCTGCCGAAGAAGCCGACATAAATGTCCCACAGCTTGGTCGTGCTCACACCACAGGTGCTGCTGGGCTGGGAGACGGGAAGGACACCCCATGGGCACCCCTCCAGGCAAAGCAGACTGAGAACAAGCTTCCTGACATGAGATTAACTCTTCCTCACTCTCCGAGACTTTTTCAGCGACCTCCCCTGCGCGTCTACCTCCGAGTTATCATACAAGGCTATTTGCTCACGGTTCTGCAGCTTTATAGGAAAAGTATTCTCAAGAGGCTCCAGGGGCCTGGATTTCAGTGGCAGCCTTTTAGAGCTTGTATTCTGGGTAGTAAGAGGAGCATGAACTCTCCTGAGGGACTCAGGGGTCTCCAACAGACTCCTTTTGGTATTTCAGATGGAAAACCAAAGTCTATTTAGTGACTGTAATCAAAGCAGCTTAATCTGTAGCATCCTAGCTGTCTTGGGATAGGTACTGCTCTTTTTATTCTTTTTGTATAGCTTATCCCAGCTGCAATGCTTGAAGAGGAAAGCACCATCTCAGCCAGTTGCTGGACCAAGAGCACAGAGATATCCAGCGGGACGGTCCAGTGACAGCGGACACCGTCCCGGAATGTGAGAGGGGACATAGTGGACATAGTGAACATAGCTCAGTAAAGGTCCACGGTGTCACTGAGAAATGAGATACACATGATGCAAGACTGTGCTGTGAGAGGGCAGTTAATGGGGCACAGATCTGAGATGAACAGAAGGTCTGGAAAATAAAATGGAAACACTTCTCAAAGGTGTTTGCTCTCTGGGCTGTGATTGCAGTGGTTGTGTTCAGAGTCTCTGAGACAAAGACACAGCCTGAGTCCATTTTTCCTCCCTCTGATTTTGGCAGCTCCTAGTGAGATGCATTGAGAAGCTGCAGGGAAATGGGTTGCAATCTGGCTTTTACAAATAATTTGTTAAGATTACTTCAAATCTCCTTTGTGGGGGTTCAAAGCATGTGGATCCTTCATAGCCTAAATTAAAGGCTTAGGAAAAATCATGACCCTCACCAGTATCTACTGCACTGCTAAACCAGTAAGTGTGTGATGGAATATATCCCATAAATAACCAGTCTGAAATGTTGGTTAAACTTAATTTCATAGCTTAAAGCAAATAAATCTTGTGAATCCATGCCTTGGGATATAATTTAAAGGACTTCTTTCAAAAGGACACATAATTCTTTGGACCACTCACAAGGAATATTCCCAGGGAGAAGATACTTTCAAAAAATATTCATCTTGGGATAGCTTATGTTTAATAACTCATTCCCCAGTGCTCTCTGCTTCGATGGAATGATAGTAAATACTGGTGTTACCTGTGGGTTTGGCCCTATGGCTTTGTTCTCACCCCCTGTGTTATACAGACAGGTAAGAGGTGCACAGAGCAAAATCTAGTCTCACCAGTTTGGTGCACCCTGACTCCGGAAAAACACCCTGAGTTCCCCTGGGGCAGATCCCAATGTGCTCCTGGCAGTGTGTCTTCAAAAGCATTTGGCCGGGAGCTGCACCCTGGGAGATGTCTCTGGCCACAGCACCAACGAGATTTTGGGATGTAGCAGGGCTGTGCTGTGTCATTCCATCCACCCAACGGCGCTTGAGACACTTGGTAGAAGAGGGAGGAGTTTTGAGGGAAACAGAACTGTTCAGGCTGAACTTACATCTTGCGGAAATGAACAGAAGTTTTAATACCAACTGTGAGAATCATGGAATTTTCTCAATATGCAAGTACTGAACTCCACCTTCCTGAGTGCTGCAAAGGCACAGCCCAGTCCTGTCCCAGCAGGGACAAGTTATATGGTCCAAAAGAGAATATCCTTGATGCTGCTTCCATAGTCAAGTGATCTGCATTTGAATGTCCCAAGAAAGACTTTGTATCAAAGCATCCCAGTGGGTGAGGGCTTGGATGAGACAGGCACCATGCAGGTGGTGCTGGCACCTGGCAAGGGGTGAAAACAACAGGATGCTGCCCCAAGGCCGCTGGCTTTGGGGTCTCCTGAGCAGTCTGTCAGCAAAGGAGCCAGGAAGAAATTAACCTTTTCAAAAGCCCTGACAGTTCTGTGCTCTCTGGAAAAGAAATCCTCCATGTTCCCATCAGCCACTGGAGACCCTCGTGTGGAGTGAGGATCAAGCACTGTGTGCTTTCCAAAGCTTTCATATTTCTTATCTGGTTTCCAATATTTTCTTTGAATTTATCATGTTCCTTTTGCCTTTGCTTCGAGCACAGAAAACTTTCTGCTCTCTATTAATAGCGTTGTTACCAACCACTACCTTCGCAGAGCAACGCTCAGAGCTAAGCTCTGCTGAGCGCTCTGCTCCTGGAGGTGATGCTGATTCCAGTGACCCAGAATAACAAACCTGTGTCATGCTTTACTCGCAGGCAAGTGGAATCAGGCAGAACTCAGGGCTGACATCTCCTCACAGAGCTACCGAGAGGCAAAAGGGGAAACGCTAAAGGAACAAACAGCACGCGAGGAGCAGTCACGGATCACGTCATTGAACAGGATGTGTTTTATTTACGCAGGGCCTGTCTAGCACTGCAAGGGACCCGAATTCTGAATTCATTTGCAATATTTTAGCTTGCTCGTAAGGCTGTGGAGATGTGCTGCTGTCACAGTGTGCTGTGTTTGTCTCAGAGTATCTGTCTCAGAGGGTCCCAGCGTGACTGCACAGAAATGAGGAGGAGTATTTGTGATAAAAACGAGTCCTGCATGGTATCAGATCATCCTGAGTGGCCTCCCAGTACCTGAAGGGAGCCTACAGGAAAGATGCAGAGGGATTTTTCACAAGAGTATGTAGTGACAGGACAAGGGGGAATGGATTAAAACTGAAAGAGAGAAGGGTTAGGTGGGATATTGGGAAGAAATTCTTCCCTGTGAGGGTGGTGAGGCCCTGGCACAGGTTCCCCAGGGAAGCTGTGGCTGCCCCATCCCTGGAAGTGTCCAAGGCCAGGTTGGACGGGGCTTGGAGCAACCTGGGCTAGTGGAAGGTGTCCCTGCCCATGGCAGGGTGTGGAACTGGATGATCTTTAAGGTCCCTTCCAACACAAACAATTCTGGGACTCTATGATAAGATGGAAAATGGCAAATATTTTATGATCTATGTGAGAAAATGCAGAGTCCCGGTAAACAGAAATAACCAAGCATGTTCAACACATCCCATGTGATAAACTCATAAAGATACATTTAAAGAGCATCAGCAGGGTCAGATGTTGAGCTGGAAGATTTGGGAGTTAACCATCAGTGATGTGATGGGTTTATTTTGTATTTTTCTTATGCAAAGAGAAATTCAGTTCTTAACTATTGGTGGGTTGCAGGTTGGGGGACCTCTCTTCCTCACAAAATAAACCAAAACAAGATTCGAGTATCTGTTTTAACAGCTGCAAAAGCAGTGAAGGAGGAGCAGGGAGTCACCTCAGGATGGTGTTGAAAGGTGAATGTAGCAGAGGGCCATTAACACACTGTTTAGCTGCAGTCCCGTGGGCAAGGTAACCCAATCTGCTCTAAATGTGCTGGGCTTGAGCTCCTTAGGTCTCCAGTTTCGTCCCTGACAGTGATCTCTGCCATCTCACTGTGTGACCTTGGGCAGTTCACTTCAGCCCTGTTTTGCACCAGAAAATAAATGGGACTGAGAGTATCAGGGGAAGACAAAGCCCTGGGGACCCATAGGATGTGAGGGGACAAGAGGCACAAGAGGATCTGTGAGTGGTGTGGGATCAAGTACTGCTGATCTGTGTTTTCAGAAAAGAAAGTGAAGAAAGCCTCAATATTTCAACTTTTGCTGGCTCTCAAAACAACAGATCCAACTTTTGCTTAGCTTTGGTGAAACAGAGCGAAGTTAAGTGCTAAAGGTTTCCTAGAGAGGTGTGAAGGTGAAATCCATCCCTGAACACTGCAGTGGAGTGGGCTGGTGTGTGTACTCCCAATGCTGGAGCTCCAGAGTCTCCTCTTTCTCCCAGCTCCACTCAGTGACACCTGGACTGAAGCCCAGCTTTAGAGAGTGGGAATCCACTTCCACGCTGCTTTAAAGATGGCTCTAAAAAGCAGGTGAACTCAGCTGCTGAATTTTTAAAGAGGCTCTTTAATGATTTAACAGTGCTGATTTTCTCAGGGTTGTTGAACACGTGGGAAAGGGGGCTGGAAAGCACCTCCTCAGTGTGATGATGCAGGAAGGGCCGGGCTGGTGGTGTGATACTGCCTTTCCTCTTCTGCTTTTCCTCAGGGGTCGGGGGGCTCTTTCTCCTGCTCAGGGCCGAGTCTGCCCCAGCACCTCCATGACAGACCACAGTTTTCTGGCCTCACTGACTGCAGCGTTGCCCCAAACCTCCTTTGCAGCTTCTTCCAGGGTTTTCATAATAATATAATTAGGAATTACAACACCATGAACAATCCCTACAAGTTTTCTCTGCATGTGATGTACCGACTTGCTTGAATTTTTTAAATTTATGCCAACAGATGAGGTATAAATGCTTAGACAAAGAGAGTTTGTGGTGAAAAGCCCTTGGTAATGGGGGAAGTGAAGACTGAATGATATCTCCAGACCAGATGTCCTTCCTGGAAGACCTTCTCCTTTCTAACTGCAGGACTGGCAGCAGTTCCTGGGCTGGGCTGCTGTGGGGTGAGAACTTCTTTCTGAGCAGCTCCCATGAGAAATACTGAGGGTCAGTGCCAGCCCTTGAGGCAAGAACCCAGTCCTGGTAGGGGGAAGGACAGCCAGAGACTTCAAGGCCCTTGGGAATGCTGTGGAAAGTTGGCTTTGCATCAGGGAAAAAGGTGACTGACACTGGAAGATGCCAAGGTGACCTTTTGGCAGCAGGAGAAAATAAATGTTGGAAAATGGGAATTACAGTCAGGGCTGCCCAGCAGAGAAAAGGACAGGATGGGACTCATCAAAATCTCATCCAGTTTTTATGACTAGAACAAAAGGAAAACTACCACAACTAAGGTACAAAGTGGTTATGGGTTGGTGTAAGTTTTGGAGCAAGAGGATGGAAATAATGGGGGGGTTTCCTCCTATTTTCTCTGAGAAAATTTACAGTGAAAAAGAAACGGGAGAGAAATATATCATCTTTGGGAAAAAAAAGTTCCATTCTGAATGGGAAATTCAGAACGTTTATCAATAAATATATTTATATATTCAGAATGTTCATATATAAAGTAAATGTAGATGTTGCAGGTCTGGGGTAACTTTGTGGTTTTTAATGCCCAGCTGTTGTGCAAAGGCCTTTAGGAAAAGTGCTCTGAGTCCACAGACTGCAGCTTTGGGAGCTTTGACGGTCTGTGAGTTCATTGTTTTCAGAGCAGTGTCAGGGCTAGGCTCCTCGCTCTGAGATAGCAGAACATTTCAGGAAATGCTGCTGATCAGAAATAGAACCGCAGCTTCCTGAAATGCCCCCAGATAAGGGGATGCTCTACAGCTGGAAGTGATAAGGAGATAGGAAAAGACAAATGTAATTTACTTCAATAACATCAGGCAAAGTAGCACCTGGTTCCTAGGGAGATCCTGAAGGGAGGCTTTGAAGGTACAAAACACACACAAACTGGTCTCCCTCTCCTTCCCCACTCTTAGTGCCACATGCCCCTCCTGTGCCTGCCCAGCAGCTCTCTCTGCCACCCCAAAGTTCTCCAGCCTGGGCGTCATTTCCTCCACAGAGCCATGTCCTTAAGGGCCATCCCTGGATGGTAACAACTCTCTGCCACAGCCTCTTTCCCCAGCACATGCCTTGACCAACAGGGCCCACTCACCACGTGCCCCCAAGCACAGGGCAAGGACAATGTCCCCAAGGCTCATGAGCCAACGTACAGATTTTCAGAGATGGTGGGAGAGGAGGAGGCTGAGAAGTGAGGATACATCCCAGTGTCCTTCTCTACATCCCTCCCCCTTGTACCTCATTGGAGATTTGAGTTATGGGAATCTTTGCAGAAAGTGTGAGTTTATAGTCACGTAATAAATCAAACAATACACTGCACTGATGGCATTAAGGGCTGAGGTGAGCAGCATCTTTGTTCATGAAGGGCTGATTGTGGTTAGTGGGATTAGGTCCTGTTTGGGAGCTGTGGCTCTGCCTCCTCCAGCCCTGACCTGAGCAGGTTCCTCCTCAAGGGTAGGTGCCAGTCTGGGAAGAACCACAGAGTCATGGAAAATGCCGAGTTGGAAGGGACCCACGAGGATCCAACCTCTGGGCCTGCCCAGGACACTCCAACAGTCCCGCCCTGTCTGTGAAAGCATGATCTAAGTGCTCCTTGAGCTCTGGCAGCCTTGGGGCCTTGACCACTCTGCAGGATGGGGTGAGCTCATCACACCCCCCCTCGTTATTCTTCCTCTCTGCTCTTACAAGACCCCACTTGGAGACATGTCCAGGTCTGGGGTCCTCAGCACAGGAAGCTGCTGGAGCGAGTCCAGAGGAGCTCACGGAGATGCTGCCAGGGCTGGAGCACCTGGAGCCAGGCTGGGAGAGCTGGGGGGGTTCTCCTGGAGAAGAGAAGGCTCCAGGGAGACCTGAGAGCCCCTTCCAG